AAAAGAATGTCCTCTGAGGAAACGAATATGGCCACAGAACTGCGTGCAGAGGAAGTTCGGAATGCATCTCAGCAACATAGCGCATGCGTCACATTATCGGATAAGCGGACCGTGACTACAAACGAGGGTATATGTGAGGCTTTTCGTGGGTGCTTTCAGGATCTTTTCACCAGGGAGCCCGGTCTAAGCCCTGCTCAGTTCGACGCCTATTTAGCTGACTTTCCCTGCCTTGAGGCAGCTGAAGCGGTTAGGTGCAAGGGTCCCATTACAGAATCGGAAATCTGGGAAGCGCTGAAACAGGTTATCCTGGACAAATCTCCAGGATTAGATGGTCTCCCCTACGAAGTGTACTTGAAGCAGTTGCCTGTTTTTGTTCCCTGGTTGGCACTGATTTTCGGCAACTGGGTGAAGCTGGGGTCTATTCCCCAACGCTTCACCAGAGGCGTAATCAAGTTGTTACACAAGGACAAGAACGTTGGGGATGGGTTAGGTAACTTTCACCCTTTAACTATGTTAAACACAGAGTTAAAGATTTTAGCTAAGGCCTTAGCGAACCGTTTGCAGGGTGTCCTGTCTAGTCTGATTGGCTCCGAACAGACTTTTGCTGTGAAGGGTAGGACTGTTCAGGACAGCCTTCATTTGGCACGCTTGATCATCGAGCAAGTCGATAGTGAAGCCGCGCTGATCAATTTAGATCAGTCCAAGGCCTTCGATAGGGTTGACCATCGATTTCTCGAGGCTGTCCTTTCGGCGGCCGGTTTCGGGCCATACTTTCGCACCTCGATCCGACTTCTGTATGCGATTCCCGGTGCGCTGGTGGAGGTGAATGGGGTACGATCGGAGCCTTTCGTATTGTCTCGCTCCATTCGTCAAGGCTGTCCGCTTTCGCCTTTGCTTTACGTTCGTGCGTTGGAACCTTTCCTTCGCATGTTAAAGACAAATCCGGTCCTACGCGGAATTTCCCTACGTGGTGCTACCACCTCGGCCAGGTATTCTGCCTATGCTGATGACGTTTCGGTTCTTGTGTCAAGCAGAGACGAGATTAACGAAGTCAAGAAAGAAATCAGTGGTTATGAGATGGCGACAGGGGCCGAGATCAACCGCGATAAGTCTGTTAGCTTGCGGTTGGGTGCGTGGAAAGGAGTTTCTCTTCCCGGACCTTTCCCTGAACGGATGAGCCGGTCAAGATTCTCAGCGTCTGTTGCCTTAATCCATCTGAAGGCGGTCTAGGTACACCTAGCATTGAGATTCGTCAATATATGCTTCGCATCGGGTTCCAAGATCGCCTCCTGGAAAAAAGACTCCCATAAGAACTTCCCATCCCTAAGAAGTGTGCACTCGTGCGAAGAGGGGGGCCCACCGTTTACCCCGAGCCGAATGCTCCTTCTACTGTGAATGTCGTAGTGCTCTGAAACGCTTCTTATGGACGTCGGATGGCCTCTCCAACGTCCAGGTATTGTCTCGTAGGACATTATATCAGCTTTTAGTTAGGGGTCCATTCGTGATGAGCTGATTGACGAGCTCGGTCTTACGAAGTAGGAGGCTCGCTCAATATGGTCTTGGGCTCCCGGGTTGAAATGTTTCAATAACAATGAGGCATCACTCACCTGGCTGGTGATGCGTGGGGCCCTCTGGGTCTCCAAAAGACTTTGCTCAGCGGGCTTGGAGAAATATCCAAACTGCCGACGCTGTAGTGGGGAGGTCGAGACCCTGGGTCACGCCTTCTTTCATTGCAGGTTGGTAGCGCCATTGTGCAAGTTTGTTGAGGGCCTCATGGTTCGCATGCTGCAGGGAAAATTCTTTGTCCTTGAGGCCTCTTCTGTTTGTAGCAATGTGGCACCGCAGCTGACGAAGGCTGAACTATATGTGTTCTTATGCTTGCTAGGTGTTATGAGGGTTGTTATTTGGATGACACGTCAAAAGGGATTCTATGGAGGCGAGAATTTCACTTCTTCCCAACTAATCTTGAACTTTAAGCATCAACTTAAAGTCAAGATTAGGACGGGAAGGCGGCGGCTCACTTCATCAGAATTTGGCAAAAGGTGGGTGAATCTTGCGCGTTTGTGTCGTGTGAAAGGGGCTGAACTGAAGTGGCACTTTGATGCCGGTTAGGCATCAGGATATTGCTTTTCCTGGGCTGAACTCGGGCAACCCATCCTGAAATTAGGGTAGCTTAGGTTTAGTTTTGAATCTTTAGTTTCTTTTTTCATTTAACTTAGCCAGGGTATGTATGCTCATTCCCCCCCTCTTTTATTTCTGTCCCTATTTTTCTTTAATTTTAATTCCTCATCCCCTGCCTCGTTAGGTGGTCAGTGACGTCAGTTCTCTGGTGGATGCGGGGCGTTTTTCGTTTCGTGTGTGATTTTTCGTATCTGTTTTTTTGTCTGTGTGAGTGCTTGGGATGAATGAATGTTTTTAATTTATTATAGTCCCGCATTAATTTCTTTCATCTAGATAACTGATGTTTCTGCCACTTTTAGTGATTGTGGGTTTTTTATTACTAACATGATTTTGTTTAGTTTCTTGTAAATAGTTATTAGTTCATACTGTAGTGTAAATATTCATTGGAGCTAGTTTTTAAAATTTTTAAATTGTTGTTTTATTCCCCTCCCCCCACAGACGATATATTGTATATATGGGGACTAGTTAGTATTTTCATGGAGACATTGAGGTATTATGGTGGGTGTGGTGAGAAAGGTAAGTAAGAATGTGTTGTTTTGGTGCAAGAAATATTGTTAGTATGATTGGGTCAGCGTTTGTGGTTTTAGCTAAGTTTAAAAAGTTAAGACAGAGGACGACCTCTTCCCACTTCCCCATTTCGGCCTTGTGCCACATTTTCTGTTTTTACGGAAATAAATATTGATGATGTCAGTGATGTTAGTTCTCTGGTGAATGCGGGGCGTCTTTCGTTTCGTGTGTATGTTTTCATATTTGTTGTTGTGTCTGAATGAGTGCGTGTCAGTGTGAGTGCTTGGAATGAATGAATGTTCCATATTATTATAGTCCCGCATTAATTTCGTCCAGTTAACTGATGTTTCTGCCACATTTAGTGATTGTGGGGGGTTTGACATTTTGTTTAGTGTCTTGTAAATAGTTTTATTTCATATTGTAAATAAATACTCATTGGGGCTAGTTTTTAAAATAGTTCTTTTATCCCCCACCCCCAAGACGATGAATTGTACATGAGGGGACTAGTTTTTTTTCATGGAGACATTGAGGTATTATGGTGGATGGGGTGAGGAAGGTATGTAATGTGTTGTTTTAGTGTAAGGATTATTGTTTGTATGATTGGGTCAGCGTTTGTGGCTAGCTAAGTTTAAACTAAAGTTAAGACAGAAGAAGATGTCCCTTTCTCCATTCCCCCTTTTTTCGGCCTTGTGCCACATTTTCTGGATAAAAACAGAAATAAATATCCTTAGCTGTGATCCTCTTTTAACAGGTTTAAAACCGAGAATGTGGAAATCTAATTTTACAACTTACTGTCATTAGTATTTTTGAGACAATCAGATATAGTAAGGTATTTAAAATAAACAAAAAAAAATTTAACCTCTGACTTGTCTTTCCCCACACAGACACGCGTGCGATTCACCTCCACTTTTTATTTTGTGGTGCCGTGAATGCCATATGACAAATAAATAAATAACTTTCAGGACAAACGTGGGTAAAAGAAGAATATCGTAATTATATTTTTCATATTTTCTTCCTTTTTCTGTATTTAAGGGGAAAACGTGCGCTCAGAATATTAGGCTAGGTAAAGCGATCTGGTGGTGTTCAGTATTTTGGTAATATTTTCAAATGCTTTAGGATGGCAGATAGCCAGAAATTCCTCAGGTGTTAAAGTTGATGACTGATATAGTTTTGCAATTACCGACTGAATACGAGGACTATGACGCTCTCATATAACTAAAAATCCACACAAAATTTATGAATAAAATAAAAATAATTTAGGAAAGAGAGAAAGACTGGGGAGATATAAGAAAACGACTCCTTCGTGTCGGTTGAGCAACGGTTATCGAATCCGGTCGTGTTTGCAAAGCGTAACAGTCGTACATGCAAACAAGTAAAAAAAGCAACCCCTAAAAAAATCATAATTATAGATGATCAATATTTAATTAGCGCACAAAATACGCGTATTTTGATTTTTCGATGTTTATTTATTTACAAATTTTACATCATTATCAATCAGACGATTATTACCACTTTTTCAGATAAAAAAACTAAAAAGTCTTAGTTGTTATGAAATTATGTGCACATACGTTTACTGCATAACTTCCAGTTAATTAAGTAATAATACATTATTTTAAAATATAAAAAATATCAAATTTAATAAAATAAAATTAACAACATCCGTTTTGTTTTGTGAAATTCTTTTTTAAAACATAAACAACGTGACTGAGAGTTAGGGTCAACCAATTACCCCCCCCATTTTAATTTAGTTTCTATAATTATACAACTACCATTTTTTAAGTTTTTCTCATGAGAGTAACTATTGTATTTAGTTCGAAGCAACTAGTATTTTTTAATAAAATTAATAAACTAGGGGGCTTGCATATAGATAGGTTGAAAATGAAAAACTATTTAAAGAGCAAGTGCAAGATAGTCACTGTGATCAAGCTTCTTCTTGACATTTTTTGTGCGCTACAGACATGTAACTTTAGTGTAAATAAATAATCTGCGTTCAAGATATGAAGAATCTGTTTAATTTGAGTATACAACTTCTATGTGCATTCGGTCAACACAGTAACCAGTTCAGCAGGATATGGAACAAAAATGATACGAAACTAAGAAAAAACTATTAACTCTGTATTACTCCGTTCGTGTCGGTTTTCCGGCATGGCTGGCTGTTAAATGTTTTACCGTTTTCAGTAGTGTGTAGAAAGAAGTGAAGGCCAACATTATTACAAGTCCACACGACAAGTGACATCCTCATAAGAATAAATATGCTGTTCTCCTATGTACTATTGTCAGCTCGCCAGGGACAGTCTTTGATAGCTAAAAAGATGGTGTCACATCGCCTAAATACCTACAAGGTCAGTTGAGTCAATCAATGTCTAAAAAACTTATGTAAAAACTAAAAAGTTTTCTCGCTTAGCACGCAACAAACTTGATAAATGACATCCTGCACATGTTTTATTCTAATTATTGCCCAATTCATTTTTATTGCTTTTATCGTTGATTATCTATTACATTCTCTATTTGTTCAGTCAGTACCTTTTATTTTATTTTCTGTCAGGTTTATAGCCTTTTTGTAAATAAATACCAAAAAGCGAAACCCATTGATATTTTTAAGGGCTGATCAGATTTTTAAATTGTGTGCTCAAAGTTTTCGTTTAAAGATAAGTAGTTTAAAATTATAAAAGATATGTTGGGTTGAGGGTACATAAGAAGGTAAAATTTTAATAAGGGAGGTCCTAAATTTTTACTTTGTTTTTGGAACAATTTCTGTTCAAGAAACTCATATTTATTTTTTCTTTCTGCAACATGTGTTGATTTTCCACTGACAAGTTGATTTAAAACTACCGAACTTATATAAAATTTATTCCTTCTTTAAAAAAAAAAATCTTATGTAACATTTGACATGATTTATAGTAGTTCTTTTTTTTCTTTCTTTTTTTTTTCTGTATTATGCAACATTTTGTTTGTGGAATGTAGAAAAAAAGATAACCAAGCAATTGAATTTGGATTTCTTGTTTCACAATTCTTTTTAGTCACTCTTGAAAATTAAAAGATCTTTCCAAATCCAATTTATTTATCATTCTTCACATCCTCAAGAATTCTTTAGGAATCTTGGCCCATAAAGAAAGATTGATTGTTTTCTATGGCTTATTACATTTTGCAGGCTATTTAAAGCCAGAAAATATTTTTAGATCGTAAGAATATTTTTTTTTTTTTTTTTTTAAGATAACAGTGATTTATTTTAATGATACAAGTTTTTTTTTAGTAATTATTACCCTTGTGGGGAGAAGAGGTGTATTCATGCCTTTCCATAGGACACTGCACGTAAGTGAACATAACGAAACCAACTAGAATTGAAACTAGACTCTCCGATTAACAATTCGGAGCCATTATCCTTTATCACCTGCTATTCCTAAAAGCGGTCACCTATCTAGGTAGTGACCAGGCTCAACATTGCTTAACTTTGGTGATCGCACGCACTGAAACTGGTGCTTCAACGTAATGTGGCCATAAAGAGGTACTTAAAAAAAAAAAAAAACTTCATATTTTGTTCATATCAATCTTTTTCAAATTAAATGTTGTTTTTTTATTATAAATATTTCAAAGATTGATAACACACAGAGCCATGGCGATACTTTGAAAACTGAATTAATTTTTTTTAAAATTGACAATTCAGATACCAATGCCCAATTTGATCATGCACTTAATCTTAAGAAAATTAATTTGTATAATGTAAGATTAAGAAAAAATATTACATCACCAAACAGAAGAGAGAAAAAAATTGTTTAATCATTAATTAAGGTCTTTACAAATAAATGTATTATTCTGGTTGATACAAGGTTGTCAAAATGTTCGTAGTAGTCCTTGCAAGAATTAGTTTATGTGTACGTAGACATGAACGTATGTGTGTATGTATGTATGAGCATTATCATAGGGTAGGAATGTCTTTGAAGTAATCGCTCGGTCTTAAAATGTTCCGTTCATTTATCAAGTATAAAAGAGGTGAGGGAGAAAGGTAGAGATAATAACGATTGCTTGATGTTTGTCAAGGGATGTGTTAATACGCTCGTCTCCTTCTCTCTGGTGACAGGCAAACTTGCCCGTCTTTTATTTTGTTTGTGGGGCTTGAAATGGTCATTTGGGAATTCACTTCCTGATATGATTTGGGTCTTTCCATTGGACGACGAACAAACTTCACATCGGCTCGTGAAAAGGTCCGTAAAAGAATTTGTTTCTGAGAATTGAAGATTATTTGAATTTTGTTTTTAAATGTTTCCTAGTTTTCTATTGTCTGAAAATCGTTTTGCATCAAGGTGTGAAATTTCACGAGTTTTGTTTTGGATTCACTTTTGCGTGTGTGTCTTAAGCAAAGTTTGTAAATTCAAGTCTTTTTAATTTCTAACAAAATCAATGAGTCAATGCTTAGCATTTGAATTTTTAAATCTTGATCTTGTTTTGTTAACTACAATTACAATATTTGCCTATTATGCATTTGCTTGTTAAAATCACTTGGTAAAATTTATGTGATAGTATGTTTATTATTTTCATTTTTCAGTTGTTTAGAAATTTACATCTGTTCACAAAACACATAGTTCCCCAATCTCGGAGCTGGGGAACTGTTTTGAAAGATTGGGTTCTTTTACGAGAAAATGTGCCTAAAGGATTTGAAAAGTATTTTCCTGGGGGTAAAAAGAAACCACCCAAAGATGCTCCCAGTGGACAAAAGAAAACTCCATCAAGTGGTAAACTATTTTTGTTACATATTTTGTTTGTCTATTTTAATGCTGTTTTATTTTCATGTTTATCAAATAACACTAACAGTTTGGAATTTTAAAATCATGTAGACTTCTTAAGCAGTGTTTAATTTTAAAACATGCTAAATAGATAAAGGTGCTCATTTTAAAAATCAATTTGCCAACTATTTTGAAGTCCTGATATACCAACTAATTTTAGAAATCTATTTTATTGTCTCTTAATGACAGCATTAAAATGTTTTTACATTTTTCTATCTAATCAAAGTTTTCCTTTATTTTTGAATGACTTGCTAGTTTTTGGAACATCTGTTCATAAGTGTCTTTTATTAACATTGTTAAGCACAAATTTCACTTTTATAAGGTTAGATAATCTACTTTGTTGTCTACTAACACAGATGTGAAGAGATGAAAACTGATCATTTATGCATCTCCTTACCACATCCCAAATGAACTACCAATAGAAGACAATGATCATGCTTTCCCTCCTGAGTACTGATGATGAGGTGGAGGACTATGCCAATGATGTAGATATTCATAGTTGGGATAAGAATGATCTTGAACAAAAAATCAACATCCCCTACCAACTGTTTCAAAAACAGAAACTATGATTTGGAATTGAATGAATGCAGTAATGGCACATACCCTGAATCCATCATAAAAATATATATATATATATATATATATATATATATATATATAAAAATTTGTTGTAACAAATTTAGTATAGGAGATAAGGAAATTGAACTTAGAATAGACAACTAGGAGTAGTTTCACCAAACAACACAAACTGCCACAAAACCAAAACCTGAAAACTAGGGTCAGGTTCTTATAATCAGATTAAGATTTTCATATAGATGTCATGCATGGTCCCGAATAATAAAGTAAAATATGAAATGAAAGTTAGCATTCAGTAAGATTCCTGTTTTTATTGATAAATTTACTTCCATAACTTTACTAAAATAGCAAAAAACTGTGGAACATTTACATTATGGTTTTCTCTTATTTGATCAGAATATATTATCACATAAATTTGGTCTCTTTTTCATTTCATTAACTTTCAAAATTTTTTTTTTTTTTTTTTTTTTTTTAATCTTCTCCATATAATAAAAACATGTTCATGATACAAATTTCTTTTTTGTATTTGGTAGATGCTCAAAAAGGATCTCCACCATTCAGGAGTCAAGGAAGTGATAAAAAAATAGAATTTTCATTCAGTTTTGGGAAGTAAGTTAAAGAATATTTATATTGTTATTTATAAACAGGGACTAAAGCATAAATGTAGATTAAAATCTAATATTTTGGATTTTTCTTCCTATGACCAAAAAAAACTTATTAATATGCCACACTGGACTGGGCTATCAGTCTGATATCATGCTCTTTGTGTCATTTCAGTGGGCAGACAGTATTGCATACTGTTCCAGTCTCCTCTCCAAGTATCATGCAGCAGATATTAAATTACATGACTGAAAATTATCTGCAATCCAATGTATAATTGCAAACTACTATTGCTATTAAATAATGATCAACATGACTAACAATGAGATATAATTCAGAAATTTGGTTTCATGTCTTTCTTAAAGGCATTCATTAAAAAGTCAGTCTCTGAATTTGATTTATTGGTTCTATTTTCTGATTTGATAATCACTGCACCCCTTCATACTACCAATAATTGTTGCATGCCTCCAATGAAAATCACTTGTTTACTTGAAATCATTTCTGACAGCAAATATAAATTTCTTTAAGAAACACAATGATTCATTCATTTTGTATGTATTTTAGAACAAAATGTTTAGTTGTAAATAAAGATTATTTCTATCTGCAAAAGGTTTTCACAAGAACTTTTAATCATCTAATCAAGTTCTGCTTTATGTGAACAAGATTCTGTATTTATGTAAAAAAGAAAAATATGAAGTGATATTGAAAAGTTCTCAGTTCATCCAAGAAGCTCTTATTCCCCACAAAATTTTGATGTTTGATCATGTCATTTGGTCTGGTAGATTTTGGAAGAACTTTTCAGTATCATCCAGATGTTTATATGCATAAGTGTGGTTCATTAAATTTGTAGCTGACATGTATTTTTGAGCTGAATTTTTATAAAATTTTCATTGTGTTGAATCTATTTAATTAATATTAACTACTGGATTAAATACTTTGAAAATGAGACAATGATGTTGAAATATAAATATTGTCTAAAAAAAAAATGCTTTTTACATCATTAGGGTACAGAACATTTTTGTGTGTGTGTTTTTATATAATATATATATATATATAAAAAGTAGATAAGTTGGTCAATAAAACAAAGTCAAACGAAAGGGTACGGATGAAATCAGTACGAAAAACATTTATTAATATTAACTAGGTGACAAAAATGAAGCACGGAGATTGAGGTTCCAACTTTGGATTTTTCAAACACACCTGTGTTCTTCATCGGCAGGTGCGAGAAATAGACAGTGATGGTGGAAACTATCCAAGATTAGTTTTTTGAGGTGGGTAGAATCCACTTGCAGATGGAATTATTAGAAAAACTCTGTTCCCTGTTAGATTTCTTGCATTATTTCATGGATACCCATATTTGATTAGATATTCCATTTATTTTATTAAACAATATATCAGGCATGGTGGAGTAATGGATAGTGGTTCAGATTGAGGAATCGGAAAGCCTAGTTGGAATTCCAGTCGAATCCATTACATTCACTTACATGCTAATATCCTAGGGAAAGGTATAAATCCTCTTCTTCTCCCTCCAGCTATGGTTCTATAGCCTTGTATGGCAACCTACTGCGGGGAAAAAAACTGCTTCATCAGTCATGTATCAAAAGATACATGATCGCCTACCATCTTGGGTATGACGATAAACTACTTTCACATCCTGGGTAAGATGATAGACTACATCCCACAGCAAAGCCTTTGATCAGGAGGCTTTGAGGAGTGTGGAACCACCTCTTAATTGCAGGTGTTCCTAGGTCCACCATTACCCAGGGTGGTAGCACCTCTCAGGGTCCCAGCTATGGACAAATACTCTAAACCCCCCCCCGACAAAAAAAAAAAATGGGGTCAAAACACTATGAAAGTTTAAAAATAGGTTTTAGTACCAGCAATACATTTTTGAAAAAAATAATACCAGCAATAAAAATCTTGTTGGAATTAAATAACTCTTTGAGGTTGATATGGTGTAAAACAAACCAAATCATGATCGCCTAAGTGTGTATCACATATGGCACCTAACTGAATGATATTTATTTTTATCTATCAGCGTGAATATTCAAAAAATCTTATTAAAAAAAAAAATATGTGGTTCTACTCAAATATGGGTATCCACTAATTTAACTAAATAAGTTAAAAGCAATAAAATCTGTTGGATTGATAAATAAAAGATTCATTACTTCTTTAGAAATATATATATATATATAAAAATAATATTTTTAGTGGATACAAAGAATATATGCGCACACACATAATTTTAACATTTTCTTTTATAAGGTATCCCTAAATTAATCGTGCACCTTGCAGTAAAAATAAACTCTATTAGAAGAGTGCTGAAAAGCCCTTTCTGCCCCCAAAATTTTTCATCTTTATAATTCTTAGTACCTACAAACATTCTCTTTTTAGAATTTTTTTTTTTATTTGAAAAATATCAAACTTTCCTTTTACAAGTTCCCATAATTTTCTGGGTACATATGTGTCTTGAACATGACCCTATGTAAAATTTTAAAGTGTAATATTCACTACTATTTTGAATTATATTTACCTAGTTAGTAAATATACAAAAATATGGAGGCTCTTGAAAACTAGAGAGGAGCAACTTTTTTCTTTCACTGTAAAAAAAACTCATTAAAATTTAATATATATTTAAACTAAGAATCAATTATCTCCTGAAAGCCAGTTACTTTAAAATTCAAAGATAGAATGTTACTTAGCCAATGTGAATAGATTCATTTCATTTACATAGATTTTACAATGATTGCTACAGAAGAGCCATGCTTTTCTCTTGAATTTCATGTTGTATAAATTCCAGTCCAATCTTTTAACTATCTACGTAATTAAGAAAGCTACAGAAGTAAAGTTTTTTTATAAAAGGAAAAATATTTAAATAAAAACATTTTCTGATTATTACTATTTATACTATATTTGTCAGTTTAGTAAACTGACCAGTAACAGTTTTTAAATACATTAAGCCCCAAAGTATTTTACACTTGTACTCAGACTGAACTTGAAATTGAACACACATGCTTTCACATCTACTGTTTAGAATATCAATGAATTCTTATGGATTTTTATGCAGTAAAATAAATAAAAATGTTTGAAATCTAAATTCTTGATTCTAATATAAAAAAAATGTATCTTGACCAATAAAAAAATTATAGTTAAAAAAAATCTTACTCTTCTGCTGATGTTATTTCATAACTTGTGAAATATGATCTGCTAGGCTACACCAGAAATATCTGGAGGCTTAATAACATAATAGATGTGCTTATTCTGAAGATCATTTGTTTCCTTTCTTTTAATTGTGAATTTCATTTTGCTCATTTCAGGGGTAGCCGAGGACCTTTCCTTGATCCGAATGATCCAAACAGCAAAGTGCTACTAGGAATATTGACTGGTATTGGATTAGTAGGCTTGGTTGGACTGTACCAAACTCAGTACAGAGAAATCACATGGAAAGAATTTCTTTCACTCTACTTGACAAGAAATATTGTAAGTAACTCTATATGCAGATTTTTTTTTCCTTATGAATTCTATTTGTTTTCTAATTCGTTGGAATTGCTATTTTGTGTGTGTATGTTGTTTTTAAGGATCCAATACATTTTTGTATGTATTTTTTATTACAGGTGGAGAAATTAGAAGTAATAAATAAGAAATGGGTACGGGTCAAATTGTTGTCGGGTTCACAGGTAGACAGTTCGGTAAGTCATCACTTCATTATGAAATCTCTTGAAAATGATTCATTTTAATTACACAAACAAAACAGTTAATTCACTTTTTAGACAATCTTATTTCTTAAGTATTACAAATTTCTGGGGTTTTTTTTTTTTTTTCATAAGAATTGATAAGGATAAAGAAAAGATTCCTTCAGCAAAATCTGTGCTTAATTCTATTTTGAAAGGCTGTTTCAGAATAGAAAATCATTTCATTCATTTCTCCTCTTTTTTTTTTTTTTTTTTTTTTTTTTGCTTGTCATAATTCAATAAACACCTGGCATTGATTCTTTACCAGTTATAATACTTATCAAAGAAAGTAAAATGCTAATTAGAATGTGGCTTATTTGAGTTATGGCATTCTAATTTTGGATAATTATATTCATCACTCACCCAAAAAAAGAGGGAAAATACAAAAATATTGAGAAATGTGAAAAAAAAATGGATTGTGATGGGGGCCATTATATTGCACATTTTGCATTGTACTCTGGTCTGGTGAATACTTGCATCTAGCCCTGGCTAAAACAGTCATTGTCTGGCATTAGCCAGCATGCCATTAACACCCTGATGTGCAGAGTGGAATGATTTGAGTACTTCTCCCTGTAGTTTTCTGGGTATGAGTATTTTATTCTCCACCATAGTTACTACTTCCAAGCAGTATAACGCCTCCTTCATAGGCCAAAATCAGTGGATTATTTTCAGTAGTTCATGCCAAGACTTGTGGAATCCATTTTGTATGTATTCCAGCAAGGGCCAACGTTCCTCGTCCATGGCTGCTGCAACCACGATCCTGTCCCATGTGATTGCCCTTAATTTGGGTTCCTGGTCATAAGTGGAACTGAATGATGCACTGTTGATTTGTACTGCATCTTTATTAGTTGCTCCGTCTTGTTTTGGTGTTGTGAGGTGCCTTGATGTGCAATCTGGGGCAGCATCATTGAGTTTCCCGGGGAGGTGTTTTATGTGGAACTTATACATCAAGGACCATTCCTTGAGGCTGAACAGTTGTCAGTTCTTTATATCCTCCAGAGCCTTGTCTGAAAAGATTTTTATTAGAGGCTTGTGATCCACTGTTACCAACAGTTCCAGACATCCTAACATGAACATTTGACACGATTCTAACCTAATGCCAATGCTTCCCCATCCACCAGTGTATAGCGTGACTCAGTGTCACTAGTGAATCAGGATCCGGCTAGAATTAGGTTCTAGTGGTCCTTACCACAAATTGGTCCTGCTTTGGTGGCACACTTACAGTGCTTCTGGAACAGGACGTATCCTGCACCTGTTTTGCTGAAGTCTGTTGACAGGCACGTGGACCTGTTGATTTCAAATGCCTTTACACTGTCCTCAATCTCTTGTGCAATTCTTTGTTTTGACTCATTGAACATTTCATCAAGCGTGCTGTCCCAGTAGAACTCCCGGTCTTTTGTTCATATTAGTTCCTGAAAGGGGGCCATTGTCTCAGCTTGAGAGAATAAGTATAAAACTTGGTTCACAAGTCTGAACCAGGATCTGACATAGGAGACGTTTTGGACTGTGGGGAAAGTTCAAGATTGCTTCCATCATCCTCTTACTGGGTTTTATCCTGTCCTCTGTTACCTGGAACCCAATGAAATCCACCTCTTTTTCTGCAAAGTGAAAATTTTTCTGGGTTGAAAATGATACTGTTTCTACCACAGTGGATAATATAATTTATTGTATGCTAGAATGATGTTTCTATTGCATCGTCTCAGAGTATGCTGTTGTCAACGCATCTGGTTTTCTGGACCATATCAATGTTATATCATCAAATCTGCACATGTATGCATCTCCTGATGCATGAAATCCCTGTGGTGCCTGACGGCATCAAAATCTACTCCATTCAGTGATTAAAGCAGCCATGTCCTGTGCAGCTGGGGAGGGGGGAAGGCTTTGGTAGCAATTCCATGAGATTAGAACAGTTTTTCTAATGTGTGCTGGCACTAACAAGGCCTGATTGAACAGAGGTGGTGTATGGTGGGTCTCCCCCATGGTAACAGAATTAAGCTTCTGCAGGTCTACTGAACGCCTAGGTGAGCCATCCTTTTTTGGTGTAACCAACATCCTAGAACACCAAGTTGTGGGTGTACCTATGGGCACTGGTTCAATGATGTCACATCCTGGTCGACCCACTTTTTCCAGTGATGTGAAACCGGGATTGGAGTGTAAGCCAATGTTGATGTTGTACCCAGAATGAAGGTAATGTCCAGGGGTCTTCTCTTCTTGAACTGTAGTGGTTGGTGGAGACATACATTAAATGTGCTGTACCTAAAATGCTCCAGCATCCATTGTTCCAATCAAGGTGTATTTTTCTCCATAGGGGTAAACGGAATACTGGCTGGTTCAGGTGGTACAGTCATTCTTTGAGAGCATCTGCGTGAGGCCTTTCTTTGTTTACTGATTGCCTCATTTTGCTGTGATGTTAGGGTTGAAAAGTTGGGAGGTAATAGGCTTAGATCCTTTAGGGCTGATTCAGACAGATAAAACCCAGATGTGTTTTCCAACGCATATATCATTTGGTGTGTGTCCCGTGATCCAACTCTGATGTTAACGGATATAACACCTTTCATATGTAGCCGGTTCTCTGTGATGCTCCAGATTCAGTGACTAGTCAGTACTAAATATTTGTCTGGGTATTTCAGGTCTACTGGAGCATGTCTGTACTCCAGTGTCAGCTACAATGTTAATTTGGTGGATGCAGAGGCTAGTTGGTCCCATAGAGATGTGCCCAAATTCTGCATGAGCTTCCGGAATTAAGGTTATCTCTGTTGTCTAGGATGGTGGTGGATCTGGAGGTCCCCTTGAAATTTGCTTCCATTCCAAATGAGGTGAGGCATGGCCTTTGTGCTGGGTTGTCTTTACCCACTCCATTTCGTTCATTTGTATTGTCAGGCCATCCTGGTGGGACTCTCTGTGTGCCCTTTTGTAGTGAAAATGCAGGATGCTTCTTTTGCCATGCTCATTGTTGACTTGTTGGCACACCCTCTCCATCTGCCTGATTATCTCACAATTGAAGCATGTCACCTTGGCTGACAGGCAGCCATTACAATCCATTGATCCCTCAAAGTATGAATTCTTTCCACATTCTCTTCTGGGACTGTTGCTTGTGGTCTGACCTCTGCACATTGGATAATGTGATAGGGTACATGGTGTGATAGAGATGGGGTGTCAACTCTTCTGTTGTTTCTAAACTGACTAGCTTGTTGAACTTCTGCTCAAGAGTTGTGATGGTCGCAGCCCCTACCAATATTTTGCTCTTGTGTTTGACATTGGTAAGTCCTGCCACCATGTTGCTGGAATAGTTTACTTGCCAACCATGGTTTGTTTTGTTTGGGCAAGTTACTGAAAACTTGCAAAATTTGGCCAGGGATCATAAACAAGCTATAAAGTGCATGATTGATTCACACTCTGTCTCATAGAGTGGAAAATTTTTCTCCTGCTCTGTAGTGGCTTGCTTATATTGGTATCATTTACCTGCTGCTAGAGTCTTGCACATGGATGGGTTAGTCCAATATTGTTGGGGAGGGGGGTACCAGTGTTGTGTCAAAGAATGTCCCTCCATATAATATGTCCAACTTACTACTCTACAATATGGTTGTTGGTTATTTCACTGAGTTCATTGATTTGGTTATTAAAGACATAACTAATGTCACCCTCAAATCCCTCCCTGGTTGTCCAAGTGTCCAATACCCATGGCTGATCAATAAGGTGATTGCTTTGATCCAGGCCTTGCTTTATCCCACATTGTGATTAGTTTTGATCATAAGATCAGCCAGGATTAAATAGTCATCAGGTATCTTCATATTGGGATGGTCCTAGTGGAATGAAGCTGCAAGGAAAGGAAATAACTTGGATAAAAAAGATAATGTTTATATATGTTCCTTTGTACAATATTTGGTTAGTTCGTTGTCAAAATTTAGTAGTTCAAATGTGGACATCTATTGACAGTCATGAGGTGTTTCTCATCTGGTGTCTGGAATAATCTCTTTTTCTCACTTCAACTCCTTCACATTTATTGACCTTCACCAAAAACCAGTGTGGGGCATGACGCAGTTGGGGAATTCTGTATTTCCCTTATCTTCCAACAAAGATCCCTTTCTGCTGTCTGGGTTCTGAAAATTAATTCCCAATTTGGGAGATCCACCTTTTTCATGGGTAGTGGTCATGGCATCAATCTGCCCCCATAATTTCTTCCTTCTCTTTTTAGCATCTCCCATTAACATTTCCCAAGTGGTGTGGGAAGCTCTTCTACCCCTCTTGGTGTCTCATCTGTACCCCAATGACTCTCGACTGCTTGCGTGGCTTAATCCCAAGATCGTTAATCAAAAGGATTATCATTTCAAACTTGTCGCCTATGTGGAATTCCTATACACTGTTTTTTTCGTCTATGTTCAGGTTTATACACTGACCACATGTCTTTTTGCTCTCAGCTTGTCAGGACCATTCCACCAAAACTTTATCTATGAATTTTAATTTTAAATCAAATCTAGACTGTTTCTCATACTTGTGTTTTAGGTAATCAGTACTTTTAGGAATGATCATCAATCAATTGTCAGAATATCACCACATGGCCTTTTCATAAAAATATTGCTTTAAGCATTTCTTTTGGTTTCTTGAGAATTAGGCTTTTTAGAAAGAAAAAAAAGTCTTCAATCTTTCTCACAGTCTGTTTACCAGTGTTCTCTCGGTATATCCATCATTCTATTCATTAACCTTTTTTTCATTTACCCGTGCTAAATAGCATCACATCACTTTAAATCATTTGTAAAACACAAGCTGTGTTACAGATAGCATTAAATATTTGTTACTGGTTATATGATCTTAGATAAATTTTCTTATGGTAAGATGAGAATAACTTTTGCTTGAATTTGGCCTTTAAAATTTTTAGTATTTACACCAATTACAACTACTGGTAGCTGTCTATATTTCTGAGATGAGGTATATAATTATTTACATTGTTCAGAATGTTGTCTTCATCTTTATTGACATATTCATAATGTTTCGGCCTTCTTCAGGTGATTGAAATTTTAAACTGAACACTTTATTTTGTCAAGTAGATTGTTCTAGTTCCATGCCTCTTCCGGATGTCTCGGTTATCTCCCTTTAACTCAAATGTCCAAGTTTTTATTGAACTCACAACTCTTTGGGTCAAGTCACTGGATCCAACAATGTTTTTATCCTTGAGGACATGTGTATGAATTTTTGTATAAATTTAATGTTTACTAACCACTTTTTTTTTTTTTTTTCTTTTTTTTAACCAGAGTTTATATTGCATTTTTTTGTTGTTATTGCTTTTCTCTAGTACTCTGTGTTATTGGTTTGCATATTATATTCATTTCTATGCTTGGCCGGCTTAGGAGATTTTTATGGCCTAACATATGTGCTGTTAAGTTTTTGTATTTTCCAGTGATGTTCTCTGTCTATTATTTCAACCTCATCCCACAGGAGGTGGTGATCTCCCCTTTTCTCTCTTTATGTGGTGATCTATGCCTGATTTTTCTGTTTCCCTTTGTGTTATGGCTTTACACTGTTCTTGCAGTCTCACCTTAAGGGTGTGGCTGGTTTCTCCTTTAGATTTCTTACCACAGCTGCATAGGATGGCATACACACAGTCCTTAGTTTTGTTCTCCTCTTTGGGGGGGGGAGTCTTACTCAAAGAGATATCAGCAAAGTTTTGATGGTCATCCTGATGTTATATGGACCACAGATCTTTCGTATTTTCTCTAATAACCTCTTCACATAGGGTAAGCAGACCGAAGCTGTTTTCTGAGTGTTATTATCCTCTTGCACCCATCTATCCCAGTTTGTTGGTGCTGCTGCCATGTACCTAGGTTAGTTATTACATTGTAGGATACTGCTTATACTGACCATTTCTTGTTCATATGTCTCTGGATTTTGACTTTTGCTCGATGTTGTAAGCCACAGATGATCCCTTTCTTTACACTGTATGGATGATGAGAGTTGAAGTTGAGGAATGTTGACTTGCTGTATACAGATGTTTTGAACCCATGCTCTGTTCAAGATATTAGTAATGCGAGTTTGTTGTTATTTTCTCTCTCCATTGTGAACTGTATTGATGAGCTTATTGAGTTCACATGTTCCAGTAGTAACTGGACCTCTTCCTGGTGTGGCCAGAGTATGGTGTCATTTGTATATCTCAGCCATTAGGTTGGCTAGTAATGTGGATTCTAATGCCATTTCTTCAAAGTATTCCATGTATATGTTTGCCATTGCTGGTGAAAATGGCAAGCCCATTGCTAAGCCTTCATTCTATTGATATATGTCTGATCCCATTCCAAAGTGTGTTGTTTGTATACAGAAAGTCAGAATCTCCATCTATTGATATACTGGTTTGTTCTCCTAGGCATGAGTCCTAGGCCAGTCTGTCCCTGACTACTGATAGTGCCTCCTCCATGTGTACCTTGGATAATGCAGTGGTGATCTTAGAGAATGGAGTTAAAGGGAGATAACTGAGACATCCAGAAGAGGCATGGCACCTGGAACTAGAACAATCCACCCCAGTAGACGAAATAAAGGTTTCAGTTCAAAATTTCAATCACCTGAAGAAGGCCAAAGTGTAAAAATGACTGAAACATTATGAATATGGCATTAAAGATGAGGACAATAATCCAAATAATGTAAATAACTACTGGTAAATTTAAAACATCTCCAACAGATTTTATATTGATGTGAACACATTGAATTTTTTTCTTTTTGCTAGAGTATAATTTGGTTTAACATTGGAAGTGTTGAGGCCTTTGAAAGAAACTTGGAAAATGCCCAGCTTGAAATGCACATTGAACCAGCAAATTTTGTCAATGTTGTCTACAAATCTGAAACAGAATTGTAAGTGCTACATTTTAAACATTTGTTCTCCTGTTATGAGGCATAAAAATATGGAATAAGTTTACAATGTTGATTGCATGATATTGTTAGAGGCTGTGAGGTTTTCAGAGAAAGGAGAATGTGTTTTTTATTGGAATCTTAATTTTCTATATTAAGTCTTTAAAGATATATGGTATTATATATGTATTATTATGAGATGTGTGTGTGTGTGTGTATATATATATATATATATATATATATATATATATATATATTATCAAATATTTGTATCAATAAAAAAAAAAAAAAAAACATAAAAAATGTCTTAAAATATTTGTCGGACTTTGTCCATTTCATAATGTGTGACGTCATTTGTTTACATTTGGATACACATCAAGCAGATATGAATGTACAGGAGAAAATCATAGAGAATTTTAGTTTAAAAACAGTAAAATCGACCTTCCTAACTGAAACACTCCTCTGTGGCTAAATCAGTAAAGCACGTCAGGCTATATGACGATTTCATATAGGATACAGGTTCGATTCCTGTCAGAGGATGCATATTTTCTATGAAAATTTCTTGGACATTCAGGCCAGTAAATGTTGTTAATACTGTTTATTATAAACAGAGCATTTACTTGAATATTTGTATGTATATAAAAAAAAAAAAATAAAAAAGAATGTATAAACATAAAAAATGTCTTATCTCATAAGTTTAGCCATGTCATAAAAAATGACGACATATTTTGTTAAAGGAGTTTTTACATGTGAGTCATATATATATATATATATATATATATATATATATATATATATATATAGATTATAACAAAAACGTTGAAATCACTACACAATAGCTTTACAGTATAGTTAAATTAAAAAAAATGGTCATAATTTATAAATTATTTATATTTAATTTATATATATAAAATAACAGTCCACTCTCTGAGTAATTATAATATTTTGTTTATACAGATTTAATATTGCTATGTATTGCTGTCCAGTTAGTATTATCTTATATAGATGTTCCATATTTTTTTTTCTGTTGAAAGTAACTTTTTCTGATTATCCTCCTACCCCTTCCCCCAGCATCTTTTGAAATTTGTCTACAATAACAATACATTTGTTGCTTACATGTTTCCTGTGATTGTCAATGATGACCTGCCTAAGCTCAAGTTTATCATGTCATGAAAAAATAACTTGCCCACCTCCAACCTCTGAGCTTAATTTTCTATTTAGCATAGATCTGACTTTTAATTGGTTGATCAAGACAAATGCACAAGTGTATTTTTTAATTCTGACCTTATGTTATATCATCCCACTTCCTTTTATCTTTTGGAAAAGAGGTAACTTTGTTTTTGAAATTTTCTTAAAGATCATTAATCACTAATTATTTACCATTACATGAAGAGGCACAAATTTGCCAAAACACAAAAGCAATTTCAACATGTTTTTGTTATAAATCTCTTGTAAGAAAAATAGTAAGAATATATTGCTCTACTTTGTATTGAGTGCTTTTTTTTTTTTAATTAAAGTAAATGCTATGAAGAGTGGAATTTTACTTCATCTGTTCTTTCTCTCATTTGGAATATATATATATATATATATATATAATATATGCCTGAAGATTGTGTTGAAGCATGAAACTGACTGCTACCTCTTGGTGTTGACTTCAATGACCACTTTTATATAAACTCTATCTCTGATCACTTTTACCCATAAATATACCATATTTTAAAACATATATTCCAATTATAATTTATCCATATTCTCTTAGCCCTACTCTTATATTTTTTTATCCTTTGCATTATTTTTTTTTTTTTTTTTTGAGAAGTCTGCTATTGTCATGAAGTCATTGACTGGCGTTATTAACAATTATAGACAAAAAATATACAAATACACTTAGTTTATTATATAGTAAGATATAGTTAGATGTAACAATGTACCAAAAATAAACATCAGTCAGTCAGAAGCACAACTAGAATACACTGACCATAAAAAGCTGTCTTTAAAGAATCAATATTAGGAAACTAAAACAAATATATTAATTATACTAGAATATATGCAATTACAATATTAAGATTTGATATTGGTTGCAGAAAAGAAATGTTTCTATTGACATCTGCTTTGAACTTTTTTTTTTTCCTCTTATTAGTTCCTGATGATCAATAAATACAAATATTCTTTTTCAAACCTGGCTATTTATAAGTCATTATGAATAAACATTAGACTGTTCCTAATTAATATCTATTGTGATTTTGCTATTTTAGTGTACTGTAGTGTACACTAAAATGGCAATATTATAACATATTGGTTACCTACTTACCAATAAAATACTGCACAAAATGTGTTCCTTTGTGACAGCTTTTCAGTCTGCATGATTTCATTTTTGATAGTTTTAAAATCTTAGTAATTCAGCTGAAATACTTTATTTCTTTACAAATTTTTAAATTAAATTTTATTTTTTGTAATAAACAAAACAAAACTATTTTCTTTTTAAAAATATCAAATATTATAAATTTTTTTCAATATTATAATATACTTTAATAATCTAAGATAAGGTGTAAACAAAACTTTTTCTGTATGAATTTCTGAGGTGTGGAGTTATTTACATTGTTTACATGATTGAAAAAATTATTTATTCCTTCCTCCTTCTTGTGAGCCTATCAAACTATATTGTCTAACAGACCTTTACTAAGTCTTATTCTTCCATTTCAAGTATTTGGGAAAAGGATTCCTACTGACCTGCAAAAAATTTGGCACAATCACTGAAGCCCTTCTGCACCCTTCTCAATAACAGTTTCTACAATTTTTAATTTTGAAAATTTATTTTAACTTTTACCTTGTGTTATGGTCCAGGTCCTTGTACCACGGTGATGGTCCAAGGTAGAACCAATAAGGAAGAACTCGAACACGGATATGGAATAACACAGATATATTACAAACAGGAATATATATAGAGAAGTAGAAAGTGTTAGTACGAACAATCAGGTTTAGTAGGGAGAACAATGTAGTCTCGACCAGTATCACTATTCCAATGTCTTGTAGTAATTGTCTGAACACGACTCTGTTTCGGACTGCCTCTGACTCGACTGACTGACTCCTGATGGACCTCACTCCAGACTTCAGACTGAACTCCCTGCTTCCTCTTGAGGCGCAGTATTTATTACATATGGAATAGTCCATTATGTTATTATGGGTAAGGTCCCATAACACCTTGCATGACTAAAAATTAAATTAACCTCATCTGTGATACTACACAAATTTGCTCTTTATTTGTTCTTTCTTCATTTCTATAGATTTTATTAAAGCAGATTTAACATTTGTCATTAAATATATTTTTGTATTTAATGCCTGGATTTGTTAAAAATGGATAAATCAAAATGTAATCAATGTCAGAAATCAAAAATCTAAAACAACATTCAGAAACCTGAAATAAACAGACAATAGAACCATCAGTAATCATTCCTTTTTGAAAAGATTTTTCTTAAATGGTGCCAAAAAACAGCATTTTTTTTATTATTGAATTTTCTGATACTAAATAGGTAAATAATTATTTGAAAAGGATTTGATTTGAAACCCATTATTTTAAATATTGTTTTTAATTTGTTTTTTTTCAGAGCATCTGTTGCATATTCTGCTATTAATATCATCTTGCCCATAGCAATACTTGTGTGGATCATACGTAGATCTTCCAATATGTTACAGGTACTGTGATTTCATCATCATTAATTCTTTACACACACACACACACACGCATTTTCATATCAACTAAAATTATTTTAACAATTTGTTTGTTGAATTGACATGTCTCAAAACATACAGAGGAATAGAAATGATACACTAATTGAAAATTTATAAAATCAAACCAGTTTTAAACTTAGTTTTCATTCTATAAAATAATGGAGATGTAAATTGCAGAACTTAATTCTTAATTTTGCCTTTGGTCAAATAACTCTTGATGAGGACTCTCAACATGTGCTCATAGAAATCAGCTAAAAAAAACTCTTGATAATAGAAAACCTCACCATGCTGAAGTTAAAATTACACTTAAACCTAAGAAAGTGATAAACAAATTTAAAAAATGTGAGAAAGTATGCAAATCATCCAAATTTATATTAATGTACAATATGTATACCCTACCAATCCCTATTTACATTATTCAGACTATTGTCCTCATCTTTGTCGCCATATTTATTATGTTTCAGCCATTGTACGCTCCGGCCTTCTTCAGGTGGTTGGAATGTCAAACTAAACCCTTTATTTCACTCACAAGTTCTCCACTGCCTTAACCAGGTATTGGAGAACTTGGGGAGGGGAATTAACAGGAGATAACTGATAAATGACATCCATTAGACATAGCACATGGAACTAGAACAGTCTACCCAAGTGAGCGAAATAAAGGGTTCAGGGTTGATAACAATTTTTATAACTTGGAAATAAATGGGAATAATCAAAGTTAATTGCAAAATCCAGTGAAAGTCACCCATGAAATAAAAACTAATTGTTTGTATGGAAAGTAAGGACCTACATACATCAAATTGTCTTTAAATTAAGTGACAGCAGAAGAATTATCATTGAACTTTTAAAAGGTAAGCTTAAATATTAAAGTATTACTTAAATGCAGCAATCAATTTTGTGTTCTTTTGTAGTTTGTTACCTATCACATCTATTCCTTGCTAGTTATTGTGATGAAGGTCCAATCAAGAGCTCTCCACAGGAACTAGTTTGAATTAGGGCGACTTTTAAACCAATTTATAATATTTATTGGTTACAGCTAAATTTGGTTCAATATTCTTTTAAATATAAAACTGTTTTTTTAAGATGCAACTGATATTAAAGCAAAATTCTAATGGTAATTTCAGAATTTACTGTTATTTATTGACCAGAACTGTGATGAATTTATCATTTTACTATTATACACTATTCAAAAAATCTAAATTTCAAAAATAAAATAACAAGGATTTAAAATTACAAAAAAGAAATTATACCAAGATAATTGGCTATTTGCAATTTTCAACATTACATTGGCAGAAATTAATTTGGACAGCATTTTTACAAAGTTTCTTTCTCCTTTACTTCATGAAATTAAGATAATAAACAACCAGAACTACTGTTAACAGGGATTAAGTTGTGAAATTTAAATAATATTTTTTTTTTTTTTTTTTTTGATATCTCCACACCCTTAGATTCTAATATCAAACTTGTTTAATTTGCCTTAACACTTTCATTCTTATGCAGATGACTAACCCCACTCCTTCATAATTTTTTACAGGGTGGACGCCCTGGTGGTCGTAGTGGTGGAGGTGGCATGTTTGGCTTTGGACAAACCACAGCAAAGATCATGAAAGATGATATTGGAGTGGAGTTCAAGTGAGTATTTTTGTGTCACATGTACATCAAGTGTATATCTTCTTTCTAAATTTCTGGGATGAGTTAATATTAAGCATACTATTTACATGCAGGCAACAAAGATGAGGACAATAGTGTAAATGACTGTATTGCTTATAATGACAAAACTTGAACATCCTTCACCAGTAGAAATTTGTGTCTAAGTAAAATATTTTAATACTATTCTTTGCTGTTGTTTCTTCTTCACCCACCCTGACAAATCTTCCAATGTTTTCAGCCATCTTTATTTTGTTCATGGTTTAGCCAATTCATACAGTTGTCAGTTTTGTTGTTCATACTTGACAATCACATATCGACATGAAGACAACTTTAAAATGAAGTGACTAAAAAATATTGAAAATAACAACCAATCATTTCAAATGATCAAAAACAAAATTTACTAAAATATTTTTAGTTTATTTTTGCAGTTAAGATTTGGATGTGCAATTTCACTCTGCAAGTTGGTTGATAGAATTAATTTTTACAGATTATGAAAAATAGACATAATTACTATAACTTTGTTTCTGTTGTATTACAAAACACTGAAGAGTGAAATTTTACTCATTGGATTTTATTCATTTTCAAATTGTAGATAAAATATAAGAAAGTGTTTCCTACTTGCCAGTGTTTTTTTTTTTTCATATACTACATTATCTTTTTTGTGGCTTAATGCAGGAGCTGGCTTACTGGGACAATTTTGTCCAAAGACCATATGGAATATGCCATTACTCTTAGATAATAACTTTTATATAGTTGCAATATAAACCACAGGTGGGCTTTGCAACATAGATTGTCTAGCCTCCATAGCAGATTGGTATGCTCAGAAAAAGAGAATAGCTGGCCATTATGCACATGTGAATAGTTTTACTTTGAATTTGTTTTGGCTTGCAAATAAAAAAAAAAAAACAAAAAAAAAATAAAACCCCACTGCCCTCAAGTTTCTTGAGCACATGCAATTTATAACTTTGAAATAAAACTTGGCATAAAACCTTTACATTGGTAATTGTCTAGCACAGTTAAAAATGAAATGCATTTAGTTTACTCTTGTAATAAATAAATTTACAAAAATCTTGTCTTTTGAACTATATTATTTCTACTATAATATTTTGACTTCTTTACAAATGAGTCTTGAGTTGAATTCATTTAAGTGCCACAGATCTCTTTATTAGCAAATTTGTAATTAAACAACACTTCATTCTCTTTTTCTTTTTTTTTTTTTTTTTTTTTTTTTTTTTAATAAAGAGATGTTGCTGGATGTGAAGAGGCTAAAGTAGAAATTATGGAATTTGTAAATTTCTTGAAAAACCCCCAGCAATACATTGATTTAGGAGCTAAAATTCCAAAAGGTGCCATCTTGACTGGGCCTCCAGGAACTGGAAAAACTTTACTTGCCAAAGCAACTGCTGGAGAAGCACATGTTCCATTTATTACTGTTTCTGGTTCAGAATTCCTTGAAATGTTTGTTGGTGTAGGGCCATCTCGAGTAAGTATTTCATTTCTCAAGATATTCTTACACTACTCTATACATAATGTCTAAAAATTGCCAATTTCTGTTTTTAAAAGATCATGTTTTCTACACTCTTTTGAACAGCTCTTAATAAAATTTTAAAAATATAAGTATAAATTTGGTTATACTTTTTCAAAATTAATTTTATTTACATCCATATTATCTTTCTTTTAAACATTTTTAGTTAGAAAAAATAAATTATCAGTTTTCTCAATGTATTTTTCTTTTTTTATGTTCCTTATTTGTCCATTGTTTTATTTTATTTGCTATACTTAAAAATCTGATGAAAACATTACTCTCCCCACCCCCGAATTTAATATTGGACTTAAAATAATTTTAAACTCAGATAATGTGCAACCTGTAATTTAAAATGTTCAATTTTATTCATGTTTGCAATTCCATTATGATCTTTATAGGTAAGAGACATGTTTTCACTTGCACGGAAAAATGCTCCTTGTATCTTATTTATTGATGAAATTGATGCTGTTGGGCGGAAACGAGGTGGCCGTAGCTTTGGAGGTCACAGTGAACAAGAAAACACCTTAAATCAACTTCTAGTAGAAATGGATGGTGAGTAGCTCTTTTTTTTTTTTTTTTTATATATATATATATATATATATATATATATATATATATATTACCAATGACCAAGCTTAATATTTTCTCGCAAAATATTTGTTTGTAATGATACAAAAAGTTGATGGATCAGAAATTAAAGTTCAAAAGACTAAATAAAAACACTAACTTGTGGAATTCAAATAAATGGATGCCTCTTTAGGGAATTGTCAACCGTTCGTAGGTCGTTACACTGTATCAAAATTCTCTTTCTAATAGACAAAATGTATCCATTGAATTTTGAATCTGTGGCTCATGAAATCTTGCTTAACATGGACTGTTTTTTTGATTGGTTGAACTCATCATTAACATGTCTTGTCTAGCTTCTTTACATTTCTATATCATCCTTATATTTATGTTTCTCTCTTTTTTCTTTTTTTTTTTCTTTTTTTGAAGAGGGGACTATATTTTGTGTCTTTCTTTCCTTCTTGCTCCTATTTTCTCTTTAGATGAGACTATATCTTTCTTTTTAGATGAGACTATATCTTGTGTCTTTTCTTTTCTTTCTTGCTTTTCTTATTTTCCTTTTTCTTTTTGTGGGAAAAGAGATGTAAGTAAATATTAAAATTTGTAATAACCCTCATTTACCACCGCCCTATATAAAAAAAAAAAATAACCAGCAAAAACTCTCAACTATAAGTGTCCTAATTACTACAAAATAAAACTTATACAGAATTTAATTAACCAAGCACAAAATTACTCCATAAAAAAGATATTCCACATTGAACTAAAAAAATATTAAGCAGACTTTCATTAATGACTTCCCTAAACACATAGATGAACAAATACCTCAACACACAGTACTTCCTCAAAGGACCCTAAATATATCAAAACTCTTATATTGTAACCAGATGCATGCTAACTATAAACAGGATGAGAAAATCACAAAAGAAAACCCTCACTCATACCAATATATCTCCCATGGATACCAATAAAAAAAAAAATAAAATTAATCATATATTATAAAAAATACAATACAACCAATTAAATTATTTGCAATAACTCCTCCCACCAACTGATGTATTATGTAAAACCAACATTATATATCAATTCAAATGTCCCTATGGAAATAAGTGATTTTCACTGTTACAGTGCATTTTTTGCCTCATTTGATTGTAATATATGGAAGAATATTTGTAAATATGAAAGGATTATATGATAAAAATAAGCAGACATAATGTTTATAATTTATTTAATATATGTCTTACCAGTTTGTGACTGGAAGTGATAATTCCAAGGAGGATATAAATCCAGGGAGAGCTCAATGTAGACTATAGAGCATTATAATGATAATAAGAAGTCAAAGACTTTAATTATCCATTTTGATTATAATTTATTTCGTGAACACCATTACGGAGGAAATTTTGGTTAGTGTTCACAAAATACATTATAATCAAAATGGATAATTAAAGTCTCCATCTTCTTATATATATATATATATATATATATATATATATATATATACACTGAGGTTTTTAATTTCTCATCCCCTCAGGATGTTTTTGTTTTTTCTAAGAATCATTTCTCTATCATGTCAGGCTTCAATACTCAAAGTGGTGTAGTTGTATTAGCTGCCACAAATCGTGTGGACATCCTTGACCCAGCCCTCCTCCGTCCAGGCAGATTTGACAGACAGATATTTGTGCCAGCTCCAGATATAAAAGGCAGGTAAGTCACAAATACAATTTATTTTTATTCACTGTTTTGTCTCTGCTATCAGCTAGCACATTTCATCTTTACATATTTTTCTCATATTGTTTCATTTGCTTTCTAATACACTTTTCCTCCTCTTATTGTCTTCTTATAGTGATTGTGATATCTACAGAAACAGGAAGCAACCTAGAGTGGAAGGTCTATTAGTTTTACAAGTCATTGATAGTGAGATTTGGCCTTGCCAAGTTTTGTAAAAATGCAAACCTGGCCTCTTCCAACAAATATCATTTTCTAATAGATATTTTTAATAGTCGATTTGTAATTTAAAATATTTTTACTTAGTCTTCTCTTTTCTGAGAATATTTCAAATTTGGGAAATAAGCACCAGGCTTTTAATTTGATATCCTTTGTTAGCATATTTATCATTTATAAGACCACCCATAAATCTATTGGATTCCTTTTTAAAAGCAGTTCATGATACAAAATGAAGAGGTAACAATATTATCAATTTTATTATCAATTACACATATTTTAATATGTATTAGTAATACAATTTATTGTAGTAATAATTATTATTATGACTCATCTTAAACAATATTATTTAGATCAAATGCAATAATACATTAATAAATGGAAAAGTTTTCAGAATTTGTGAAAAAATTTGCTGCTTTATATTTTCTAGATGAAATACAGCTGGAAATTCAATGATAATAGCAGAATAACATAGGAGGCCTATCATTATTCCAGGATGATAAGTTAGCTTTAATTTGAAACATCCCTTTAATGAAAACATTGCCCTGCAGGAAAAAGTTTACTTTTTTTTTAGATTGGAATTGTAAACTGATAGTAGTCCTAAAATAAGAATTTATACTGATTTTTGTATTTACCATATTATAATTATCTCTGTCTATAAAAGGCAGGATGTGTGTGTGTGTGTGTGTGTAACGAATGCACGGCTGCAATTTTTGACAGATTTGCACCAAAATTTACATGCACATGCTCCAAGAAGGCCAAGACCAACTTTGCATTTCCCAACTCCCATCAATAGTGGAAATAATTGATTTTTTTTTTTTTTTTCTTGCTTCCACGGCAGTTTTCATGTAGTTTGCGGCCATTTTGTATTGGCCAGAGTGAGAGCCAATAGCTGGCTGCCACAAATAGCCAGGAAGATTCTATTAGCCAGCATGAGAGGCAACAGCTGACTGATACGAATGTTAGCTAGCATGCTAGCATGCAAAAAAAATTGATAGCTGCATTCGTCACAAGTGGGAAAAATTTAAATCTGCATGGCACTTTACTCCACTTGGCTCATTCACTTGCTTAAACTCAACGTTGATTCTGATTCTGCAGAACTGGGTTGGGTGTGAAAAAGTATTTGTTGTTAACATTCTTTTTTCATTTGGTTTTTCCAGTTACAAGTCCTTTTTTAAAGCTGATCGTTTTGTGTTCATTTTGTTTGCAAATTTTTTCTAAGCTCTATACTAAATATTAAATCTGTTACAAAAAAAGAACTAGTGTGAGATAGGCAAGAAGTAAGGCATGTAGCAACATCAGCACTGCAAAGGGCACTCCTTTAAAGGCAAGGAAGGGCAAAAATATTTTAAGTCAAGTGATAGCGATTGCTGTATGATTCGTACGATTTTTGAATCAAGCACGGGCAACACCGGGCCATGCTGCTAGTCAAAGATGGTCATTCAAAAGAACAAACTGCAATCATCTGCTTAGGGAGATTCATATTTATTGAAACAACAAAGTATGGATGCACTTTTTGTGTACTTAGTTTCGTTTTTTTTTTTTTTTCTAGGTAATTTTAATTATTTTTTTATTATACATACTTATTTCGTCTTCACATTTACTTTGTCTTCACATTTACTTCAACATATGTAATGGCGGCAAACCAGTATGCATCTATTTATTTATTTACCATCAAGTGATGTGACACAATTTTCCAGCCATACAGATTAATTTTTACAATGACAGACCCACATAGCCTCTTCACAAGATTAGTTTTAGTATTATATGGATATGTTGAAGCTTTAAGCTCAAATGTGATAATTGCAAACATCTTATTTTTTAAAAAAAGTTCTAATGTAGTGTAGTGAATTGTATAAATATGTTATGCATATTTAAATTTATTTAATAATGTTGTTATAATGTATTATGAATGTGTTTATTTTTCACACACATAATAGCTGGAATATAATATGCAAGTGATTGTTTATACATGCAGATTGATATTCAAATGTGTATCAAAAGCAAACACTGAATCTCCTATTAAAAATGCTGTAAAAGCATAAAAGCGGTCAAGAACCCTTTGTCTAACTTTTATTAAATTTGTTACTGTACTTGAAGGGGTTCAAGGTACTATATGCTCCTAAATTGGTATTATATATCATTTAAGCTGTATCTTGGGAACAAACATACTTACAAGATTAGTTTTAGTATTATATGGATATGTTGAAGCTTTAAGCTCAAATGTGATAATTCACTGAATTTGTTTTGTTAAATATTTATTATTTGTAGTGTTGGTAGAAATTAGAGAAAATAAATACAATAAATACAATTTTTCTTTATCACAAATGCTTCATTAATATATTAAATGAAGAAGTAATATATATATATATATATATATATATATATATATATATATATATATATATATATAAGAGAGATATATACACACATACACATAGTTTTTCATTTAATGAAAGTGTTGGTAATGACATATTTGCAAAAGATTCTTAAACTTTATGATTTGTAACTTTTGATATAAGTTTTATCTATGCTTTCATATGTACTGACTACTGTTGGGATATTCTAAATCTTTTCACTCAGAAGCAAATTACCTGAAAAAGTGTTGGTAATTTTTTACCTTATTTAAACTTTTACACTATTTTAGAGCTTCAATATTCAAGGTGCATTTGAAAAATCTCAAGACTGACCTTGATAAGGAGGGAGTGTCAAGAAAAATGGCTTCATTAACACCAGGATTTTCAGGTGAGTTCCATTACATGTACTGTTTTGAATGTGATTGCTATTTTTAGAGATCAGAAAGCTGACAAACAATCATTCCTAAAATACATAATCAAGAAATAAGTTGACATTGTGGAGCATTGAATGAGTAGTAAAAATTGCCTTTTGAAGTTTAAAAAAAGATATTTTAATGTTTTATACATCCAAGTATATCAGTGTTACATGCATTTCAAATATATACATACTTTTTATAAAAGTAGAAACTGAAATTAACAATTCTATAATTGAAACAGTTTTTTTTAATTGAACTTGATTTTAATTGAAAAAATTCAAATAAGAGATGATTTGCTACATTATTATAATTTCTTTATTCTGTTCTTCGTATATAATTATATTAAACCAGTTGCAGTAAATCCATTTTCTTGTTCATTTTTTTTTAGTTCAGTTTTCTTGTATCAATAAATTGTATTTGTGACTTAATACTGCCAAAAACCTCATATGAATGTTATAAAACAAATAGCAAAAAAAAAATGAGATAGTAATTTAATTCTGACAAAGCTATTTTCACCTTTATTCATATTAACTGCATGTTTTAAACATACCAATAGATAGACAGTTCTACATACTTTTTTTTTTTTTTTTATAAATAGTAAAGAATTAAAATTTAGACTTCACTCAGTAGGACTGAAATTTTAAAAAAAGAATAAAACTTGGATCTATTAGTGATGCCTACATTAGCATTTCAAATAGCCTGTCATCAATGTTAAACTTTTAGATATGACAGTGAAATAAATGCCAGTGTTAACAACAATAGTATCCTTGATAAGAGTACCACAGATTAAAGCTGTCAACAGACAATATGTTGTCATATATATATATATATTGTTTTAATGTAGGCTATATTTATAGGGTAAAAGTGCTCAATATCTGGGATAGGGCATGTAAGTATAAAACGTCTTGATATCAGTGTTCACACTTCACGTGTGTGTGACTAGGATTAATACAAGTATAAAATTTGTCACTTAGCTGATTAATGTTAGCTTTAGCATCCTGGCTCTAGAGTTTCATAGACATACCATCCCACAGTCACTCCGTCCCCTGATCAGGGGATGTCAGCAATTGACTTTTTATTTTCTCGTTTTCCATTTATACTGTGTTGAAAAATAAATTAGGCCATAGAGAATAGCAGCTTATAGTAAAAATTTGTATACAAGCTTAACTCTAAATGTTCTATCATATAAGTATACACTCCAATCATAATAAATATAACTGCAAAAGTAAAAGGATATACTTTATAGTTTCATACATGAAAATGAATGCCATGCTTCATATAATAAAAGTGCTATCTTCATACAGTAATGATAAAATTGTAACTGGTGTCACTTGTATGCCACTGAATTTCTTCAGCCAAATTCTACCTTTTTTGTGTTTTCAGGTGCAGATATCGCCAATGTTTGTAATGAAGCAGCCTTAATTGCTGCCAGAGATCTGAATGCTTCAATTTTATGGAAACATTTTGAACAAGCCATTGAACGGGTCATTGCAGGTAAGTTATGTAGTACTGTACTTTAATTTTTATGCTGTAGAGAATATGGGTTATGAGGAAAACAAAAAACAATTTTCTACAATCAGTTTTTTTATCAATGATATTAATTAATTTTTTTCATGTGCTATAAAGAAAATTAAAATATAACTAACTGCTTCTTTTGCTTTTGATCTTTATTTTTCTTATTTATTTTTCTTTCCCCTCCCCCTCTGTGACCCTTTCATTATTAATTGCCTTTTATTTTCATTCACTTCGAACTCGTTTTCATTATGTCTTTAATTTATTAAGTCTTTATTCTTCTCTTACAGGCATGGAAAAGAAAACACAAGTCTTGCAACCTGAAGAAAAAAAAACTGTAGCTTATCATGAAGCTGGTCATGCAATTGCTGGTTGGTACCTTGAACATGCTGATCCTATATTAAAGGTAAATTCTATAGCAACAGAGTGATATTTTCTATAGTCTTAATTTATGAAATATTAATATACATTAACAAAAATCATTTTAGGCCAAAATTAGTATGTGTATATTGCAGGTGTTGAAAATCAGTGGAAAGACCTGACTGAAATGTCTTTGTGCCTCTCATGACTTCACTGATGCAGCTTTGCAGCCTATAATAACATGAATATTACAAGAAAAATCATTGGATAGTTATAATGAAAATAAATATAAATGTGTGTGGCTCTCACCACAGAGGAACTGGACTTCAGCATAGTGCTATCAAAAAAAAAGAAAGTGTGGAAGTGGGCCTAAAATCAGGCACCAACTGGCCTACAAAACAAGATAACAGAGCATCCTGTGTCTGAGCTGGCGTGTAAGGAATATAACCAAGAATTAGAAGTATTGTTAGATAACGGCTGGCTCATACCATATCCCGAGGAGGAGCTCAGATCTCTCGATGGTTTAGTTCCACTGATGGCCATTGTCCAAGAGGGCAAGAAAAAGATACACTCTGTGATGGATTACAGAGAGTTAAATGAGTATGTAAATGTGTTCACAGCAAGTGAGGCTGTCTATGTGGACAAGCTAAGGGAATGGCAACAACAGGGGTGCAATGTATTGTTGTTGGACCATAGGAGAATGTATCTACAGATCCACGTATACCAATCGTTGTGGCCTTTCCAGACCATGTTACTGAAAGAGAAGAGCTACTGCCTTATGCAATTAGGCTTCAATCTCAATGTGACGCCTCTTATAAGTAAGGCAATTATCAAGACTGTATTGTCACAGGATGAAGCAATCCAAGGTGTCACTTCAGCATTCATAGATAACATCTTTGTCAACGAAAGTGTGGTTTCTGTGGTGTGAGTCAGAAAGCATATGTCTGACTTTGGACTGATCTGCAAGGACCCCATGAGACTCAACAATGGTGCAAAATTGCTTGGGTGGGGAGTAAGTTCTTGGAGACTCCAACTATTATCATGCATCATATTATGTTCTCTTTTTGCAGAAAGCTTGTAGGCCACCTTCCAGGTGACTTAGGGCAGCAGTGGCATTCTTGAATTGACAAGCCACTGCAAAGGGTGGGATGACAAAACCTGCAACATACCCCCCCACTCCCCAAGCACATGTGATGAGAGGGGTTTAAGAATACCCTGCAAGAGGAGGCTGGTGTGTGAGCAGCCAGGAAATAACAGTGTGGGTGGATGCAAGTTCTCTGGTCACTAGTGTGGCATTTGAAGTCAATGGAGACATTGGGGAGGACACATGCTGGCATTATTGTGACAGTGACACTCAACATATCAACCTAGCTGAGCCCAGCACAATGTTAAAGGGCATAAACTTGGCACACCTGAAAACGAAAGCAGTGTGTGAGATGCTTGTACGAAGATGACTGGTGACTCTTCAGGCACTGATTGCAGACTATGGCCTCACCTTGTATGTAAGGCTGACTAAATCAAACCAAAATAAAGCTGACAAACTTACCAGACTTCCACAGAGGTGGTTGGATTTGTTGAAGGACACTGAACCTATCTTCTCAGCATGTGGTGCAGCCATGTGAGAGCTGAGTCCATACGAAATAATGGAAATACATCAGTGTAGTGGTCACCCTGGTGTTAAGCGCACCACTTACTTTGTCAGGTGAGTCAATCACACTGTACCTAGCACAGGTGTCAAGATGGTGGTTCAGAGTTATCCTGAATGCCAGTCCATAGATCTGGCATTGGTGTACTGGTAAAATGGAAGATCACTGAGATCATCAGTCCACAATCTGTCATGATTGATGGTGTGGTGTGTCATGTTAAAGACCTCCGACTGGCATGGGATCAATGCTCTGCTGCAAGCAACACTGATGATTCTTCCATGAGCGATGGGGAGTTGGGAGTAGATTCCTGGATGTTCAATGCACTTCCTGCCACTGTGGAAAGAGATGGCAACTACAATGAGGACAAAGTACCTCCTCTGTGTGTTGAAAACAATGAGGATGAAGGAAACACCCACCCTCTGCATGGTGGTGCTATGATCAGGAGATATTTTGTAACAGAATCTGGTCAAATTGATTAGAGACTTGGAGTTGGTTGTGTGTGCTACTGTAAACACCAGGAGTTATGTCCTCTTCTATAATGGGCTGTTGAGAAAAGACATTCTATTTACAGTAGGTAGTGCTGACTACTTGCATATGAACGATACTGGGCATGTATTAGCCAATAGTCAGTGTGGATTTGGGACTGGGAGAGATATATAACACCAGTTTTTTTTCTCCATCAAAAGCGGTCTCAATGTGTGAATGTGCAGTAAACTAGACAAAACGAACCCAATTGGCTCAGAATATATAAAGCTAAACTAATAAATGCAAGCAGGTTAAAAAAAAAAATGTCTAAAATGAGAACTGGACAGAGATTAAAAAAGTGAAGAACACAGATGCACCAGTTGTATATAAAAAGATCAAATAAATAGCAAGAGAAAACCTTCTCTTCATCAAGATGCATAAAATCTAAAGAAGGAATGACCATAATGGAAATAAAAAAAGCTATTGAAGTTGTGGAACAAGTACACGAGAGAAACCTATGATACACAAAAGCATGAGTAAAGACATTAGGCTTAAAGCTGCATAATTTCACCACTAAACTGACCAAGCAACACATGGATTAAAACATTGGTTAAAACATACCTGCTTTGCTGGCAACTGAGAGTTCAATTCCTGGTTCTGGTAGTGTTGAAAAGTCACATATTCTAGTTCAATCAAAGAAACGAACCGCACAAAGGTGAATAAGACCGGTAAGTATTAATTTATCAGTTATCTCCCCTAATCATGGAAGGCCAGGTGAGAACAATCAATCTCCGTGGATTGAATAAAGATTTTAGTCTGAAATTGCAGTATGAAGACATACCTGAAAAAAGCTAAAAGGTAAAATCAACATGAGCATGGTGATCTGAATAGCAAAGCATAAAATAGATCAGTAATCATATGTAGTTTTGTTTTTGTTTTTTTTTTTTTTGTTTTAAGATTTGTTTCAATGTTTAACTTTTTCTCTATTAGTTTTTGTTTAACCAACCTTATTTAGAAAATTTACATCAATTACATGTAAACTTTGATTTAAAATCAGTTTAAGTACTTTAGAAAGACAGATATATATTTTTCTTGTGTGGAAATTAGGCAGTCATGGCAATTGAGGGCATAAAATGTAGTAAAATAACATTACTGCAATGGGCAGTTTCAAGTATGCTTATTAATATCATCTACCACTGCATCCTCTTAGACTATTGCAAATAGTTATGGCAAATAGTTAAACAGTACTTAAAGCACTAGCAATTACATTGTTGTATAATTATTTTTATGTGTCAGTACTAAAGTTTTTTTTCTTCTAACTCATTTTAATATCTTAGCTGATTTTGTTTTGCCTTGTTTGTCTTTAGTAAATTAATTATTTATAGAATAATGTAATGAAAAATTCAATTCTCTCAAAAGGACATGAGAATAACTGAAGAGTGCAATGAAAAACAAAAAAATGTTATTCCTCTTATGAGAAAAGACTAATTAGAAAAACATTTTTCATATAAATGTTTTAATATTTCTTCAATAATTTCAGAACTTTAGATTTTCCAAAAAAACATTATCTCACCAAATGCATTTCCTCTCTCAAGAAAAACTTGTGTAGTAAAATTTGGGGGAGAAAATCTTAAAAAAAATAAAAAATCCTACTTATTTTATATTGACTGTAAATGCCATAAATTCTTGATTTAATATTTTGAAAACTTTCTTTACAAAATAAATGACTTTTTTGTAGGTTTCTATCATTCCTAGAGGTAAAGGACTTGGATATGCCCAGTACCTTCCCAGGGAACAATATCTTTACAGTAAAGAACAGGTTTGTTAATTTTATCATACCTATCAGGATTTATGAAAATTTTATACTGCAAAAATTTACCCATTTCCAATTTTATATCTACTTGATAAAAAGAAAAGTTACCTTTTTTTTTCTTTTTTTTCTTTTTTCAAAATAAAATTTATTTCAGATGATATTCTTTGTTTAACAAAAAAAAAAAAAAAAATTTGTTCCACTTTATTATTACTTCATTTGTTACATTCTCTGTCCAAACAGTGCAATGTAAGTTAATTTTGTTTGTGTGACTGTATTTTTTTTGTTTTTATTTGTTGGTTCTTTGGTGTTAGACTTTATGCATTTTCATTAAAATGCATTTTTTTTTGTTTTTTTTTTTTTTTTTTTTTTTTTTTTTTTATCCTACTAGAATCATTAGCAAATTCAAAGGTAGGAAGGGGACTTGTGACAGAGCTAATATTTTGAAAGAGTGTTACACACACACATACCACAGTTAAATACAAACATTGACATTAATGCATAATATATTTTTCATTGACTTTTCTCGGCAGAGAAGTTCTCAACACAGTTATAATTACATTCTTAATATATGATTACTGTAGTTGAACAGATTGTTACTGGAGATTATTGTGCTCCCCAGTTCAGCCATCTTGGTGGTCAGCATCAAATCCATCAAATGTTTAGTGAGACTTGACATTCTCACCTTCAAGTTAGTATTACTTAGAAATGTAGATTAATATAAATCATGTTTATTGATCTGTAGGTTTATTGGTAACATCAATTGAATATGTGGAATTTGAACATCCTCTCTTAAATATTGTCCGAAATTCTGTGATGAGGTTTTGTAATAAGTTCATTAATTATTCAGACCCTCATTTTAATTGTATTTTGGTAGATGAACACTCTAGCCTCCCAAAAGTATTTATTGTATCTGCTAATCTTCCAGATATTTTTTTAATACAAACTCTTATTTTGCTACTAATGTTACTTGTTTAGTTCTTTTGTAGTCCTATTCAAATAATTTGTATAATACTCTCTCTATCTCTACAAAGTTCCAGATCATCCAGTCTACTTTCTGCTCCTATTCCACCTAATTATGCTATTCTTGGGTATTTGAGTAAATAAAGATTATTAGTTAGTCATTTAATTGGCAGATTATCTCCATAGTTTCTAACTAGTGTTATATACATTGGACTTATCATTCTAGCTCTATTCCAGTTCTAGTTTATTTTATATAAATATATCTTATATTTACCCCCACATGTTCAAAACACTTTTCTATTAACAATATTTATGAATATAAAATGAAATGATGTGTCATGATCTTAGTTTTGTTGTACAAGAAAATTGCATTCATTATCTTATTACTGAATTGAATCCATTTTTAAGGGATGTTTTAAATATTTTGTTTCTATTGCAGCTTTTAGATCGTATGTGTATGACACTAGGAGGCCGAGTAGCAGAGGAAATTTTCTTTGGTAAAATCACAACTGGAGCTCAGGATGATCTCAAGAAAGTAACACAAAATGCATATGCTCAGGTCAGTTCCATTCTTTTTATAGTAAACAATGATGAAAATATTGTTTGAAAAAGCTCCCCTGTTCCATCAAGTACAATCTGAAGTGAATGGAAAGAATTATTGAATTAGGATTTTGGACTTTATTGAAAGATTCTTAATGAAACAACTTCATTAAAAAGGTGAAAAAGCATATGTTTTTAAAAAAGAAAACAGTTTTATCAAGAATTCTAATCAGATAACTTGACTGTTATACTTTTACACCATGCGTAGCTTCCAGGGCCTATAACTAAATCATATCAAATCTTTTTTTTTTTTTTTTTTTTCAGTTAAGAATAAACAAGCTTCTCTATTAAATCAATTCAACCATTTTTTTTAATTAAAAATGGTATGATTGCTTTCTAAAACTATGCATTTTTGTATGACAGTAAAAGTATTTTATAAATCCGGTTTTAAAAGATTTCATGTTAAAATAAACTTCTTTTACTTTCAGTAATTTTATTATTTAAAAAGCCTTTTTTTATCAATATTGAAATGTTATTGCAGAAAAAGTAAAAACTGAACAGATGCTTTTATAATTTAATTAAAAAGTCAAAGTAAACACTTTCTAGATGATCAGTGTATGATGACAAAAGTACGCAGATGTAGGCTTTAAGAAAGCTTTATTCAACTGAGAATACAAGGTTCATGTATAGTTTCCTTTTATAGTCCCAGTAAACAGAAATAGCTCTCTCAAAGAGGAGAGTAACGAAACAAAGGGAGACCACTCTTGATTATTCATAACACAGTGATTTTTCAATGTGGACAGTAACCCCCTCTTTGGGTGCTACAAACTCTCAAGGGAGCAGTAAGTGTTCTAATATTTTGGAAGAGTGTTATAATTTTAATAGAGCAGCAATGTAATTTAACCTTTTCAAACCTGATTGGAACAAGTTACATTTTATAAAGAAGAGTACAATATTTTATATATACATCTTATTTTTTTGCCTATATATTTACATTTCAAGACATATTTTAAAAACTTAGCTGCAACTCTGGAGCAAAAACCTGTAAGCCTAAATCCAGCAGCTTTTATTGTCAGACACAGTGACTGTTGGTTAACTGTTCCTGGCACAGCTTACTTCCAGTGATTGACACTATAATGCAACAAAATGTAAATACATGAGATTAACTGTTTGCATTAACTCTGCTCCATTACTAGTTCATTTTTGACATGGAGGCATCAGCTGACCATACAAATATCTGAAAAGAGGCACTGAAAAAGAATAGCTCAAAAACCACTGAGATATATATATATATATATATATATATATATATATATATAATATATATATAAAATAGAAGAAAATTACTTAAAACTGTTCATGTTTAAATGGACGTGTTATGAAGAGTGATGATTACTTTATAGATTGAAAAAGAATTTACAAGATTGATATGGAAAATACAAGGTTAGTTGAATAATTCTTCAGCGAATATTCCCCATGTACAAACTTTTTATAAAATACAAAAATGCATATCTAAGCATGATTTTTCTTAGTGCTAATAATAAGCCCTGAAACTTTGCAGATCAGACTAGACACCAGGTTTGTTCACAGGGTGTGGCATTTTTTTAAGTGAAATGCTTGTGGCTTAATACCAGTAAAATAATTCTTTGGTTGGATCCTCCTCCCCCCAAACCGTGAGATGAAATTGTAGCGGTCAGCAAATTTTATTCAGTTGCAACCTCCTCATAAGGGCTGGCTGTAGATGAGTGAGGAAAAGTGAGGTGAGGAGTAAACAATGTAACCGGTATGTGCTTTCCTTTCATGTGACAGATGAGCAGTTCTCTCATTTAGGCTGTTAGTCTTATAGAGAACAAACCTTCTTTGTCCTGTCAGCTTTCATCTAATTAAAAAAAAAAAAGTCATTCATCAGGAACCCAGGGTTTGTTGACATGCTTCTTGGGAGGTTGGCTCCATTTAGCTGACCTTCTTTGTCAAGACGATAATTGTCAAAATAATTTCTGTAACATTCTGCAGATTTCTAATTTAATTATTTTTTATACTTTTCTAATTTCTTTACAATATTAAATAATAATTTCTAAATAATTCTTTTATATCTTTGTTTAAATTTTTTCTTTGAAATATCCAAAAATTTTTTGTTTGTACATTTGACATTTTCAAATTTGTTTTTTAGTAACAATATTTAATAAATATTACTTTCCAAATAACATTCCTCTATTTTTCAATGTTTGTTTTTCTTTATTTTGTCATCAGTCAGACTCTGAATAAATATTGTATGTTTTTTCTTAGAAATATTTAAGAAAATTCTTCAAATTAAAAAAAAAAATGTAAGCTACATTGTATACATATTGTTTATGCAATTTTATTAAATTATTTAAAAAAACTTAGTTAATTATTTTAGCAAAAGAAAATATTAGTGAGAAATAATACTTGAAAAATGACAGTAGCTATTTTAAGGCCTTAGTTTGCTAAAGTAATGCAGAACTAATTTTCCTATTTTGTAGATTTTTATTGTAGTTAATTTGTTGCTTCAGGTTGTTCACTATGGTATGAACAAACGCGTTGGCTATCTGTCATTTGACATGCCTCAACAAGGAGACATGGTCTTTGATAAGCCCTACAGTGAACAAACAGCACAGGTCATTGATGAGGAAGTTCGTAAGATTATAGAAGATGCATATCAGAGAACACTGGATTTATTAACAAAATACAAAAATGATGTTGAAAAGGTAATTATTACTTTTGTTACTGATTAAGTTTTTATGAATTTATCTGTGGTTCTTGTGTCTACAGATAAAAAATGCTTATATATTTCTTTATATTTTTTATAGTTATCATATTTTAGACTTAATTCAATTTTCATACGGGATGATGTTGGTTGTTAAAGTGAAATACTATAGTGCAGAATAAGCAGAAGTGGCATTTTATGGACTATTAACAGGAGAATTGACTAAATCAAGATATCCCCTAGGATGGACAGTGGAATCAGAAAATCCAGCACTCTGTGGATTGAATAAAGAGTTCACTTCAAGAGTCTGGGAACATTACTATATGACAGAAATCTAAAGAAGGCTGGAGAGTACCACTTCCAAAACAGGGAAGTGGTACCAAGAAGAGCAGTTTAATTAAATCAATGTATAATAATGATAATTCCTTATCTCGAAAATGCACAAACCAAAGATACCTAATGAAAATCTTGTTTTTACTAACCTTCCTGTTAATATTGCTCACACTATAGCAATTGATTTATTTGTATACAGAAACAAATTTAATTGTTAATATATTTAAATATTACACAAAAAGTGTACTTATTGTTTTTATTTACTACATTATTTATTACTACATTTTTAATTAACACTGAAAGTATTTTTGTGACATCAAAAAATATATATTTTTTAAAAAAATTTATGCATTCATTTAATTAAAAAAATGTTTCTTTTATTTATTTTTTATTCATCTTAGGTAGCAAAATTGTTGTTAGAAAAGGAAAAATTAGATAAAGATGATATGATTACTCTGCTTGGACCACGTCCATTTGCAGAGAAAACAACATATGAAGAATTTGTAGCTGGCACAGGTAAGTAACATTTTTTTTTTTTTTTTTTTTTGTCCTATGTGATACATACATTAATAACAATGATTTATTTGTAGATATAAATGTAAATTTGGTACTGTACTGTATAGCCTTGAGTTGAAATACATTTTAATTAAGCTGTTTTTGTCATTTTTCTTTTCTTTTTTTCTTTACAAAGTGTCTGAAAAATACCTCAAGGGTAGTGGGGCACCTGTTTACTATGGGTGGCAACCTGTGATGCCTGAGGACCGGATACTTTGGTCATTTGATTTGAATGCCAAAGTGGTCACACAAACCACAACACTCGATTTTAGCCTTTACTAGCTAGACATGCAGTTAGAGAGTCCCAATACAATCAATTGGCTAGTCATGTCACCCCTCATTTAGGTTCTTGCAAAAATCTGAAACAGTGGTCAGTGGCTGAAGGGTCAGTTATGCTGAGGAATGACTTGTACCTTTTTTTTTTTTTGTCCCTTTTGGAAACAAAAAAATTAGGGATTCAATACAATTATGTCTGTCTACAACATTAATATACTATATAGCCCTGATATGATTAAGCAAATGGGTTTCCCCCTAGGATTATCCCCTTGTGGGGCTCTGTGGTAGATAGGGAGTCAATGAAATCATATATTTTTATGGCTTCTGAAAAAAAAAAAAAAAAAAAAAAATATCCCCATTATGAATCTGCTTCAGACCATGAAAAAAAATGAAAACTTCCCTAGATTCCTGAATCAAGAGAGGAACCTCCTCAAAATAACCTATCCCTGCCCATTTATTATCCAAAGAGAAAATCATACAGCAGATTCAAAATATTCTGGGGAAAAAGAAAAAGAAATTATACAACTTAATCACCCAGAACATTACCTTCCCAGAAGCATTCCTTGGAAACTTCTTTCACCAAACCAACATAAGTAAAAGTTACTAAGACTCCCCAAGATCCAAATGAAAACTAAGTGAATACTCACATAAAGGGAAAAAGAATAAAAGAATTGTTAAGCCTAATAAAAAAAAAACTACAAAATCTAATCAAAATCTTAAAAACTAATGTACCCAATATAGAAAAAATTCCCACCAACAAATCTAACAATACCCCAACAACCACAAAAAAATGAAACACTAGCAGGCTCAGATCAACTTCAAGAACAAAGGAAAAAAGAAAATCAAGTTAATTCAAAACTCTCCAATAGAAACTAAGAATAAAGTTAAAAATATAGAGGAAATTGAAATGGACTCAACACCCACTATTCAAAATACAAAAATAAAATAAAATATTCAAATCTTCCAAATAAAATCCATGATACACAAAATAATATGGTGGAATATTAGAGGAATCAAATCCAACTTCTCATAATCGAACACAACCCAAGTATTACATGCCTCCAGGAAATCTTTCTAAAGAAAATTAAATAACATTAGAAACTACACCCAATACCACTATACCCGGGCCCCTAGCCAAAATGCCTCTGGAGGTGTGTCAATATACATTAAGAATGATATACCCCAAAGCAAAATCAACTAGCAAACTAGCATTCAAGTAACAGCTGTTAAAGCTACTCTACACAAAACAATATTTGTACTATATACATACCACCATATGATAATATCAATGAAATCAAAATAAACAAACTGATAATGCAACTGCCAAAACCATTTCTGATACTAAGTGATTTAAACAACCACAATATGAGATGGGGCGATTAAAAATACTGATAAAAAAGGAAAGCAAATTGAAAACATTCAACAATATCTACCTCATCAACAACACCTACCTTCACCTAGCAACAGGCAGCTTCATCACTATAGATCTATCCCTGTGTGACCCCACTATATTCATAGACTTCAGCTGGCAAGTCCTCCAGGATCCTCACAGTGGCAACCACTTTCCAATCATCCTCAAAAACCTAAATGCCTCAGAACAAAAAAAAACTAAATGGAAAATCAGCAAAGCAAACTAGGCCAAATTTAAAACTCTATGTAACAAGGAACTCGCTGAAAATAATACGGAGAAGAGTTCCATAGAACATTTCACAGAAACCCTAATATCAATTGCTGAAATATGTGTAGCCAAAAGCTCTAAATCAACCAAAGGCAACAAACTCTGGTTTAATGAAGATTGCAAAAATGCAATCCTCAGAAAATTTCAACTCCAGCCAACCCCTGACAATCTAAACCAATTCAAAATAAATAGAGCAAGAGCAGACAAAACCATTAAAGAAGCATAAAGAAAATACTGACAAAACTATGTAAACAAACTGAACTCAAGTACAAAACCAAAAAAATATGGAACATGATAAGAAAAATAGCAGGGAAAAACCAACCCTCTACAAAAAAACACCTCTAAACAAAAACACAAAAACCAACATTGTAAATCTGTTAACTGTAAACTTCTCCAAAAACTCTACCCAAGAAAACTTTAATAAGAAATTCTTAAAGAAAAAACAAAATGATAAAAAAACACATTAAACTTCTTCAACTCACAAAACTACAAAAGCTATAACAAACTCTTTACTCTTCTTGAGTTGAAAAACTCAATAAAGAACACACAAAATTAGCTACTGGATCAGACAAAATATCCTACAAATTTCTAAAACAATTACCCACTAAATCTCAAAAATACCTTTTAGACATGTTCAACCACATATAGACAAACAGTGAAATCCCAGATGGTTGGAAACAAGCTACAATAATCCCTTATCTAAACCTGGAAAAGACAACACAAGTCCAGAAAACAAACAGACCCATAGCACTTACCAACTGCTTTGTCAAAACATTTGAAAGAAGGCTTTTATAAGAAATGCCTTTGTAAGAAATGAACATGCAATTTACTATCTTCTTTGGACTTGGAAAGGCTTATGAAGCAACCTGGAGATATTGGATCATGAAAGACCTCCACAACCTTAGACTGAGAGGCAGACTACTTACCCTTATACACAGCTTCATAACAAACAGAAATTCTAGGCACTAGTAGGATCCTCCCTCTCAGAATGGAAGAACCAAGAAGGTGTACTCTAAGGCATCATTATACTGTCTGTAACTTTATTCAATATAAAAAAATCAATAACTTAATTACATGTATAAATCCACTTTTAAAAAGAATTTATCTGCAAAATAAACATAAAATAAAAACAAATCTTAAAACTACCCAATTTGGCAAGAAATGACTTTTGGGATTAGTGTGCTAGTAAAATAACCCATCTAACCAAAACCATAATTATGACCAAAGTGCTATACAACAACAACAACACATGATGCAGAAATATAAAAATTACAATAAGATGGGTTTTTCGTGAATGATATTTTGTTTACAATTTGTTTTGGTGAGCAAACAAAGATTACATATTTTGGCAGTTATCAATATTAAGTCAATGGGACCAGTAATCAACAAAATCATTTATGATTCCACAATAGACATTCTAAAATGCATTTAAATTTCCCACAATTCACACTATCTCCTGTTCATGTGACATCAAAAACTTTTAAAATTTGATTCACAATCTCTCACCAAACACTTTGAATTTCATTTAATTTACTTCCTTTTTGATAATGACTTTAAACAACTTTGAAAGCTTGGAACCTTAACAAGTACTATTATGAACTGTAGTTTCTCTACACCTTTAATACCAAGATAAGGAAATTAATCTGTCAACAAGAGAAATTAAAGAGTCATAATTTGTATGTGCTGTTTGAATGACCATTTCTTGCCTACACCACTTTATACATAAAATTAAAAAGGCACATTTAATCTTTCTTTCAGGTTCCCTTGATGAAGATACAACATTGCCAAAGGGCCTGGAGAGCTGGAATAGGGAGCGTGAAGAAGCGGATAATAAAGAACAAGAGTCTAAAAGTAAAAAATCGGAACAAAGTGCACAATTCTCTGACTTGAGACACTGAACTGCCTAAAATTTAGCAAATGCTTGTCTCAGGCATTTATTGAACACTGTTCGCAGGGCTCTGCTGGTTGATCAGCAACTGTAAGCAGCAATATTGTCCGCATAGCTTTATATTAAATGTGAAATTTTAGAAAAGTAAAAAGATAATAATAATGTTCTATATAATTCATTTTGTTTTTGTTTTTTGTTGTGATAAGGGCGTTACTTTAACACTAAGTATTGTTATATATTTAACTCATCAATGTCCACTATCTCATTTTTATGATGTTGGGCATTAATATTATTTTAACATGTAATTAATACCAGATTTTTAAAATTATTACAGCATATTACAGTGGGCATTAATGAATTAAATGGTATCACCCACTTTTTGTTTTTTATGCAATTATTTAAATACCTGTGGCTCTCTTACAATATATTTTGTAACTTTAAATATCATTTTTTTTTCTGGAGCTTGAATCAATACCCTTTTGATATTTACATGTTTAATGGACATAAAATTAAGGTGACAGTTTTTATTGCTGCCACATATGGTCTTGTACCTTTGCTATATATTTATAGATTCTTGATAAAATCTAAAGAAGAATTGGCAATATTATTGGTCCAGACCTGGCATCTCAGATTCAGTCACTTTTCCACCGCCATAAAGTTGCCTCTCCGTACATTTTTCTATAAATACTTTCATGGTAATTGTTCAGATGAGCTTTTCACTACAGTACTTGAACTCTATGAATTTAAGCAAAGTACTAGATTGTTACGGGGGAATAATGGATAGCGGCTCGGATTGATGAATCGAAGAGCTGAGTTTGAATTCCAGTTGAATCCATTACATTTACTTACATGCTAATGACCTTGGGAAATGTATGAACCCTCTTCTTCTCCCCATGGCTATGGGGAAATAGCAAGACAGACCGGGTTCTATAGCGTTGGATGGCAATTGGTCTACTACAGAAAGAAATGGCAACCTACTGCAGGAAAAAAAAATCTGCCTCGTCAGTCATGTATCTTTCAATACATGATCACCTAAGCATTTATCACGCATGGCACATAACTGACTGACTAGATTGGCAATAAGATCTCATCAAGTTATAGTTAAATTGGCCAGATGTAACTAAGTTCTATGTTAACATTTTATTTTCTTGCACTTCTTGCTTATGGAACTCTTTTCTGGCTCTATGCTTTCCAAATAACTTTGATCTTCAAAAATTTAAATGCAATGTCAATCATTATCACCTGTCTTCCTAAAGTGATCACTCTTCTATTGTTTTTGCTCTTTAATAATGTTTCTGTTTTCTAATTCTTTCACATGCAGTAACCCTCTGTCCTAGTGGTTTGGGGTGAATTTGATTAAGAGAAGCTATCCACCTACTTTTGTCTTATTAATAGTGCCAACCATAATTGTTAATCTTAAATTTTGTTTGCTTGGTGCAGAATGTTGGTTTTTATATTCAAAATGAACACTTGGTAAACTTTTTTAATACAAATATAAACTTGTGTCCTTGTTGGTGAGAGAATTCATAGCTTGTGGTACACTGAAACAGAAAGATCCTCTCCTTCTTTGTAGCAGGCAGCTGTCATTATTAGTTCTTTGGTAGTTAGTGTGGAGTAGACCAGCCTGTCCTGGTCTCTGGCAAAAGGGTAGAGAAGACTGAATCTCAAAGCCCTATTTTTTCCTGGGTTTCATAACAGCAGACCTAGCATTGATTCAATATAATCACTCCACTTCATGTCCATGGAAAGCATGAGACTAACAATGTGTAAGAGTTGCTCTCGTAGAGGTTAGCATCAGCCATGCTGATGACAGGCAAAATAGTTTCCTTTTTTGAGGCATTAAAATTTACAAGCCATTTCTTGCCCCAGTTAACATTTTCAAGATTAGCTGCTAGTTCTTTGGGAACCTATCAGACTTAATATTAAAACAGGAGTCAAACAGTTATTTCTTCAGCATAAATACTGATTTTTGGAACTGAAGACATTGAGAAGATTGTTGATGAAGAAACAACATAGGTCCATCCCTGGGGTATGCCCACGTTAATGTGAAAGGACCTAGAAGCATGGTCATTCAACATGACTTTCATTACATGATTTGCTAAGAATGATTGGATTAAGTCAAATATTTGACAGAGAATTTTTATATATAATCAGAAGTTAGATATTAAAACAACTTTTGAAATGAATTATATGTGTAGCCAAGAATTACTATTTTGGATATAGATGTTTATAAAAAAAAAATTCTAAGTAAATTGTTAAGTTATTTATAATTTATTAGACATATTTGACTTCCCTAAATATTTGTTTAGGATTTCATTTCTTTATAGTAATATTTAAAACCATGGTTGGTTTGATGTAAGTATAATATATATTATTAGAGTTGGGTAATGAAGTAAATAGATAAAAATAGAATAATGACTTTTAACATGATTTCTGAAATTAAATTTGAATCTACACACAAGTCTCCTGAAGAGTGGATTTAATTCTGCAAAATGGTAGACAGGATAAGCGAACATTTAATTTTATCATTATTATTAGTAGTAGTACTCTTTCTTTTGATATTAAGTATTATAATTACAAGGATTGCTTCATGACTTCAAAACATGTTTCAGAAATACCTTGGTCAACCTTTTTTTTTTTTTTTTTTTTTTTTTTTTGCAAAATACAATCTTTGATTGTTATATAGACAGTCAACATCTTTATTATATGATTATTTTTACTTGTAGTTACATATATTACTCATATAAGTTGTTTTAGTTGTCTTTTGTCCCAGGTAGGTGAGTTGCAGAATGTCAAATACTATCAACTCTTGCAGACCAACATGTCTAACATGCTGGGCATTGAGCAGCTGATATTTTCATTCACAATTTCCTACTTTTGAATATCACAGAAAAAATTGAGGAGTTTTTGGACAGTTTAAAAAAATAATAAAAAAAAGCAACAAATTTAGAGTGTCAAGCACATGGACTGTTTGTGGATGTGGGATTGTTCTCAAGAATTTGAACCTGTACACTATTAGTGGGGCTTACAGATACATCATGTTGAAACACTGGTTCCCATATGATCACCAAAGTTAAGCAATGTTGAGTCTGGTAAGTACCTAGATGGGTGACTGCTTGGGAATACCAAGTGCTGTAACCTTGGATTTACAGTTGATGTAATGGATAATGACTCAGAATTGATAATCAGGGAGCCGAATTCTAATTCCAGATGGGTTCATATTATTCACTTATGTGCAAATATCCTTGAGAAAGATATGAATCCACCTCTTCTCCCTCCAGCTATGGGTTAATTAGTAAAATCTCCAAAAATAAAATTGCAAACAAATTTAGATTTTGGCATTAAATAACCCATGGAGGTTGACCTGCCGCTAAACAAAACCAACCAATCATTAGTGGATCCACTTGTTTTGATGCTATTGTACTATCCTTATCTACAGCAGTTTACAATTGATAGGACATAAGATATTGCAGATGAAACTCAAGAAAAACTTTTATTCCATTGAATATATTCTCATTCTTCTGGTGGACATATAACACGTCCGGCCTGGCTAAATCCTGGTTTGTTCTGACACTGGTTAGTACTGCCACCAGTCAGCTGATAGTTATCTGCTTTCTACTTTGTCCCTTCATCTGTTTCTATTCCACATTGTGTTCCTTTATCACAGAACAGTGAAGATCGAATTTTGTTCATCCTTGAGCACTGGATTGGACTATGCATGTTTACAAAACCATATTTCAGTTTGTTTACATTATTGGCTTTGTGATTTATAACAATTCCACCTGCCTCTTGGCTGACAAGCAATCCACATACCACAAATCATATTTTGGGCCCAACATTTCATTCTGTGTTTCTGTTTATCAGAAAGAAAGAAAAAATCTTTCTGTTTTTTCTTTGCCCCATATTTCAACTCATGTTTTCACTTTAACATTTTTAACCCTTCCAATTCTCCAAATCCTATATGGGGTTTTCACATAAACCCTTTTAATCCTTTTCATACTACCAATGTCATAATAGTGTCTCATTTAACCCTTTCAACTAGAACGAATGACACTTTATAGTGTCACAGACATAATGCATGAATACAGTTTGCCCCATGTGTGCTGAGTCTGGTGTTGTATTCAACACTATTGAAAAGTATTTTGTGGATTCTTGCTTCTTTATGATTATTTTGGTTACAGTTTAAGCACAGCATTTGATGAACTCTTGAATTTTGAGAGAGAGCTGCTATATTTGTCACTTTGTCTTGATAGTTTGTAATTTTTTTATTTTGTCTAAGAAATGGATAGTAATGGCTGATCAACTCTAAAGTACCATGGAAATTACCATTATTGTAATCTCTGATCAGATGACCTGTCCTTCTGAATGCTAAGCCTCTCTCTTCTAGTAACAAACAATTCTGCAAATTATTTTTTTCCATATTGCTGTGCCCATATTCTGAAATAGCATTAAATGGACCAATGATTGTGATCTTAGATTCTTTTCCATGTTTTGTCATTGCATGTAAGTCATGAAAATAGTTTGTCCTCATGAACAGGAATGTTGTGTAACTTATTTCATTTTTGTTGGTAGAATAACCTGGAACCACAGTCAAAGAACAAAACATCAAAAAGGAACAAAACATCAGTGATTGTTTGATAAGTAGCTTGCATATAAAATAAAAGGACTCCATACAAAGCCAATCCTTGAGAACAATCTAAACATTTCTATATTGAATGTTTAGAAAACTGTCACAAAATGAACATTCTGTAATATTCTCAAAAAACTAATGTGTGTTTTTTCCGGCATTATCTGATTGTATCTTTAACTTTGCTCATTATGAAACCTCCATTTTGTAGAGTTCCTATGTGAAAGTTTAATAACTCTGAATTTTTCAATTCCATCTTCATTTGAGATACATTGCTGTCCTCATAAAATAATTCTATTTCTTTGCTGATATTTTCTTTGACTATAGGTTTGCTTG